ATATTAAAATACATCTAATTTATCTCTACTTTTCTAGAAATGCGTTTTGAAGTCCATATCTTTTGTAACGATGGTTAAAGGAGAGAGACTAAAACTTTTATACCTAATACACCCTTAAAAATTATTCCATTTTCATCCCAATCTCTCCTCTCTTCCTAATCTCTCGCCCTCACTTAAAACCTTAGCTATCATCTCTCAAGCAAATTTGTACACAAACTCTATCGATTATGGTTTTCTATTTTTAATGCTTATTTCTTTTTCCAGCCACGGCGTTGATGAGTCTTTGCTTGCTTAAGTGTCTCCATTAAAGCAACTGAGATAGTGGGTCATGGTCTAGGTTAGATTGCAACTCTTTATCAATGCTTGGCAATCTCACTCCTTGTCTCATTACTTCCCCTTTTTCCTTTTGTTTCCCTGAAAACTGACAAGTCAAACACAAAAATAATAATAATCAGATATGTGAGTGCTATTTTATATTTTCTAGAAGCTTAAGCATAAAAAAAATAAAAATAGAAGTAAATATATACAAAACAATATATTGCAGACCATTTAATAAGCCACAATGATGATAAATTTTTCCAGATTTCAAAGCTTTATGGTAATGAAATCTGACTTTGGATCCAAAAAATTAAAATTATTTAAAATATGATTGTATATGTTTATTTTTTGTTGCGATCTAAGTGGGAGAATATACTTATAGTTTGTAAATACTATCTTCATTTTATAATACTTGTCACATTTGGAATTTCACGTCTCTTAAAAAAACCATTAAATTTGTCTAAATTATAATAAATTATTGAGTAAATTGACTATATTATCCGAAAAAAATTAAAATTTATTTAAAATATGATTTGTATATGTTTATTTTTTAGTTGCTGATCTAAGTGGAGAATATACTTATAGTTTGTAAATTACTATCTTCATTTTACTAATACTTGTCACATTTGGAAAATTTCACGTCTCTTAAAAAAAACCATTAAATGTTGGTTCTAATTATAATTTCACGTCTCTTAAAAAAACCATTAAATTTGTCTAAATTATAATAAATTATTGAGTAAATTGACTATATTATTCTTAATTTAATACTAATTCTATAAGAAAATCATTAAATTGAAGTAATAATTATTGGTCACATATAAAGGATAAACATGGAAAAAAAATATTTATTACTCTTTGAAACTACAAATGTGACAAGTATTTTGCAACAAACTATTTTCTTAAATATGATAAGTATTATGGAATGGAGATAATAGATTCTTATTTTGAGAATAATAGAATTGATGACCTAAAAAATATGGTTGAATTTATAAATTCTTTAAAAATTTTGTTTTTTGGGTTGAAGTTGAAGGTTTTGTTTTTGGTCTATTTGGTTGGTTTATGAGAAAACAAAAGAAAAAAAATTAAGAGACGGGAAAATTGCATTTTTAATTTCCTTTATTGCTTACCATTCGTTAAGATGTGAATAATTTTTTTTTTTTTTTTGGCTTGATTGGATGAATCTAGAGTCAAAATGGTGGAATTTTGTTTTCCTCTATTTTTGCAAATTTTCAAGGGAGAGAGGTTTGGATGATTTGATATAAAATGAAAATGTGAAAGAAATATAAAGAAATTATAACTTTTGACTAGACATTACCGGCAAAAAATGAGTTTTTTGGACGGAAGTACCTATTAGTTTAACTATTGAAAAGGTATGGACTTCAAAAAGCATTTTATAAAAGGAGGGATGGAGTCGCTTTATTTCAATACATAGTGGGACATAATAGTAATTTTCCTTCATATTATGTTCAAATCAATAAAAGCGCGACTAGTTAACTTCAATAACTCCTAAAATCTAAATTTATATTTGGGTTGAATTCTAAATATTAAATTTTGAATCAATAATTTATTGAGCTGAATAATTAATAAGTGGTATGAAAAATTAATCATTCAATGATTAAGAAGTGGTATATGATATTATTTAATTATTACAATACAATTGCAATTTTGTATTTTTATCCAATAAGTTAAATAAAGTATTGAATCAATTTTAAAAATAAACTTCTTCATTTAGATAAAATTTAACAAAATTTTAAATAACTTATTGCTTCAGCTTAAATAAACAAATTTATTTCATTTATCTCAATGAAAAAGCTTAGATCAAATAAGTTTTCAATAAAATAAATAATGAATGATCATTGTGTTGTGTCAAAAAAAATGGTTAATTATAAATTTAGTGTCTGAACTTCCCTCAAAAAAATTATTTTAGTGTCTTGATGGAAAACATTTTCAATCTAGTGTTTTTTACCTATGTGGCAAGCCGGAAATACAATTAGGATGATAGGTAGCTGGGTTGGATTTTCAAACTCAAACCCATTAAAACCAAAAGCAAATCAAGAATTGTGTGGTTCAGATTGAAATGAATTCGAGGTGAACTAAACTAAGAAATACAATCACCGTTAAGTTTCAAAAGAGGACCAGAAATGTAGACCATAGAGTTCTCCATAGCACCCCATTAGCAAAGAGTGTGATTTTATAATTAATAGTAAAAAGCACCCCATTAACAAAGTGTGTGATTTTATAATTAATAGTAAAAGCAATTGTTTAGCATGATAATTATGATGAATATTTAGTAAACTTAAAAGGAAAGGGTTGGTTAATGGTTATGGGATCGGTGTGTGGTGGTGCGGCGCTGTAGCTTCTGCCCACCCAACCACACCAAACTATCGGATTCTATTTTTCTTTTTTTTTTTTAGGGATAATGTTATTATTGGTGCCTGAATTTGTCTTTTTTTTTTTTTTCTATTTTGATGTTTGAAAAAAAATAGTGAGAATTGTGTGCCTAAACTTACATTTTTTTCAATTTGGTGTCTCCTGATGAAGTGAACAGCCAGATTGTCTGATAGGACGAAGTGGATCCATATATACCTACATGTCTGCTTATATGGCTGACTTTTAATCCATGTGAGTTGTCCAACATGGAAAATATGGTTAAATTACCGATTTAACCTCATTAACCTCAGGTCAAACACTTACTTTATGCAATCCCTAACTAATTCACAATCTAAATCCCTAACTAATTCGAGATCTAAAAATGAGAAACAACATTAAGAAATTAAATTGGAATTTAACGAAATGCATTCTTAAAAATGCACTTAAAATAGTTTAGTAGAAAAAAGAACAAGATTCTCTTTTCTTAGCAATTAATGATCCAAAAAGGAAAAAAAGAAAAAAAAGGAAACAGCTAAAAGAAAATATTAAGTTACATTAGTAAAAGTATGTGGCATTACGTTTAATAATCTGTTTAGCTGCTGAGAATTTGGTGTTTTAGATTCTAAAGTACTTAAAAAAGGCAAATTTATATTTTCTTTTTGTTTTTTAAGGAAACCAATATGGTAGTCAGTGGAGTTGTAGAAACTTTACCTGCGAAGAATCTAAGCTTAGGAAGAGGGAAAAGAAAGTGGGACACAGTGGAGTTGTAGAAACTTTACCTGCGAAGAATCTAAGCTTAGGAAGAGGGAAAAGAAAGTGGGACAAAGCACTGCAATGATGTCGTTGGGAGAAGAGAAGAGAAGAGGATTGAGTCTGTAAGCAGAGCAAGAAGATAAAAGAAATGGGCTGGAGAGAGCCCTATTCTTGATACTATTATCGTCAATGGCAGAGAATTGATAAACCCCAATAAAAAAGGAGGAGATGCAATGGGGTTTTAGAGGCAGAGAAAGAGCGGAATAAGAGACGAAGTGGGAGATGACAATGGATTTTATTTTATTTTTGTTTATTTATGCAACAATAGTGAATTTTTCTTTTATAAATTATTACATAAGTAAACAAAATAGTGACAATTAAGGGATAAATAGGTAATTTAATCATATTTGCCATGTTGGACATTTGGCATGGATTACAAGTCAGCCATATAAACAGACACGTAGGCATAAGTGAGCTCCGCTTCATCACATTAGACAATCCGGCTGTTCTTTTCATTAGGAGACACTAAATTAAAAAAAAAAAATACAAGTCTGGACACTCAATTGTCACTATTTTCCATTTAGACACCAAAATAAAAAAGGGATAAATTCAGGCACCAAAAATAACATTATCCTTTTTTTTATTGTTAACAAAGATATCCTAATGTCAAAATTCATCTTAATGACAATTTGATCAAGGTAAAACATATCGCAATGACAATCAGATGCCAGAGAACTTCTGCATCCTGCTAATCAAACTAGAAAATAGGTCATAACAGAAAAACAAGAACTAGAGTTTTACCACCTTCGCCTATTGGAATAGGAAGAACTAGCACCAACACAACACAACCATCTCCGTCCTTTCTCAGCAGATTATAAATGAATGAGTTTTGATTGAGATATTTCTCTGTTTTTTCAATATATAGCTTTCAATCCTTAAATCCCTAAAACAAAACGATGAAAACTGTTGTTGATCGGTTCACTTTCCTCAACAATATATATTAGGGGCAATTAAGTTATTTCAATCTTTATCTATCCACTTTATTAACTGCATAATCCGACGTGGCCTGCCAATTCAGAGCTTAATTAACAAATTTTAAAATGTCAAATGAGTCTGCATCTCTTAGTTATAATTCCGACATATCACGTAATCGGACCTCTTAATTATAATTCCGACATATCACGTAATCGGACGACACTAAATTGAAAAAAATTAATGGATACAAATACTTAATTACAAAAATTTTTCGTTAAAACACCGAAATAGAATTTTTTAGGAAGTTCGACACCAAATTTATAATATCCCAAAAACAAAAAACAAACAAAAAGAAAAGTACATTGATAAGGGATTCCGGGTTGCTTCAAAACGACAGGTAATATTCGTTAAAACACCGAAATAGAATTTTTTAGAAGTTCGACACCAAATTTATAATATCCCAAAAACAAAAAACAAACAAAAAGAAAAGTATATTGATAAGGGATTCCGGGTTGCTTCAAAACGACAGGTAATATTGCCGCTTTATTCAACCCGCCCTTAACCCTTAACCAAAGCAGTTGCACCGTCTCGTTCCCTTGACCAATGGCCAATCTTAGAAAACGGGTCTCACCTAAAACCCTGAAACTTTGTGCCTCTCTTCTCTCCGCCGCGTTTCAAAGCTGATCTCTCTTCGCCGCCTCACCGATCAAAGGAATTCATAATACTTAGTTTGGAACATTAATTACTTATAGGGGAATTGGACGAGGATTCTCGATATCTCCTGCAGTTGAAACACCGAAATGCTTGAAGCTGTTTACAGGAACAGCTCAATCGAGTGGAAACCATCTCCAGTTGTAGCCTTAGCCACCAGTGCAGACGACTCACAGGTCGCTGCCGCTCGTGAGGATGGTTCACTTGAGATTTGGCTGGTCTCTCCTGGCTCCGTTGGTTGGCACTGCCAACTGGTACTTTTCACTGTAACTATATCTTATATTAAGTGTTTGTCTAGTTCATTTTTGTTAATTAGTTGATTTTTCTGATTGATTTTGTATATAGAGTATTCATGGAAAGCCTGATTCAAGAGTTTCCTCGCTTGTGTGGTGTCGAGTAGGCACGGAAGAATTGCCTTGTGGCAGATTGTTCTCATCTAGTATTGATGGTTCAGTTTCAGAGTGGGATCTCTTTCACTTGAAGCAGAAGGTGAAAAAAATTTTCCTTTTTTAAATATTTTACTTATTGTATTTAGTAACACCCAATCTTTTGCATTAGCAGTATTATGTTTACTATTCCAAACATCTGGTATTTCTTAGTAGACAGTAGCTGATTTTGTTTTAAGCTATTTGGTTTATGATGTCCAAGTTCAAAAAAAGTATTGGAAGAGCAATTGTTATGCTATATTTAAGTCCCCATGTAATGCGACAGATGTTTCTATAATCTTGATTACTTATTGAATAAGCTGTATTCTTTATGCACATACACCTGCAGACTGTCCTAGAGTCCATTGGAGTCTCAATTTGGCAGATGGCTGTGGCACCCTCTAGCAATCCACCTTGTGAAAAGGATATTGAGGCCAAGCATCTTGGAAATGGATTTAGTGATAAGAAGAATGATACTGATGATCAGCAATCCAGTGAGAGTGGTGATGATTCTGACTCGGATGAACTTCATGAGCAATTTGCTATTGAGGATCCACATGTAGCGATTGCTTGTGATGATGGCTGTGTGCGGATATACACTATTCCTGACTCAGATGAGTTAATATACAATAAGACGTTGCCTAGGGTCAGCGGTGAGATATCTTCACCAATCTGGCTTCTCTTTTGTGTCATTGATTTTTCCTTTTAGATGAAGAGCCTTTTTGCTTTTATAATTATTTGCAGGACGTGTTTTAAGTGTGACATGGAGTTCTGATGCAAGTAAGATATATTCAGGGAGTAGTGATGGGTGAGTTTTACATAAGAGTAATTATGTGCTGCAAAGCTCTCGGTATTCAGATGCATTCACTTAGCTATTAGTTTCGGCAGAGTTGCAAAAATTTGTAACTCTTGCAGTAGAGCAACTTCTTCCTTTTATTTTAAATGTATGTTATCTTATGGTGTTAGGCTTCTTGCAGATTTGTTAGGTGTTGGGATGCTAAAATGGGTCATGAGATATACAGGATTACAGTTGGGCTTGGTGGCTTGGGTAGTGGACCTGAACTTTGTGTGTGGTCTTTACTTGCTCTCAGGTAGAAATGGAAGCATTTGTATATGTACCATTTGACTTTGTATGTTGATATCCAGGTCAATATATATTTTTCTGCACTGCTGATGATCAATGATTGTCAATTTCAGATGTGGGACCCTTGTTAGTGCAGACAGTACTGGTAGTGTTCAGTTTTGGGACTCTCTGCATGGGACTCTATTACAGGTGCATTCTTCTCATAAGGGTGATGTGAATGCGCTGGCAGCTGCACCTAGTCATAACAGGGTGTTCTCCGCTGGATCTGATGGCCAGGTACAGGTTTTGTTTTACAGGTTTCTTCTTGTAGAACTGTTGTTTTAAGAAATGCTACCAACATTGGTTATCTAGCTTATAACTTCTACCCTTGTATTATCACAGAACATTCTTTAAGTTTAGTAGATGTGCTAGAAAAACTGTATTCTAGCATTATATGCTTCACATTTTCATGTTAGTTGGGAATGGAGTTAACTATCCTGCTAAAATTTACATTGCTTCTATTTGTAGGTCATTCTTTATAAGCTTTCTAGTGAGACAGTTGGATCTAGTGATGATGTGTCTGCTAAAATGATGAAGAAATGGGTTTATGTTGGTTATGTAAGAGCTCATACACATGATGTTAGGGCGTTGACAGTGGCAGTACCAATCAGTCGGGAAGGTCTGTAACAGATGTTAATTTATGTGTTTTAATACTTATAGTACTTCTCTTGGTGCAAATGCATTCTAGAATCTGCATCCTTGACTCGTGCATAGTTACTTGCCCTTTTTTGTTATTGATCTAGATCTTTCTCGGTCATTTAAACTGTGTATAAATGGCAGATGCATTGCCTGATGAAGGGGTGAAAAGAATTCGCAGTAGGAAGAGGCCAATTGAATTTAGTTACCGTAAGTGGGCTCATCTGGGTGTTCCCATGCTTATCTCTGCTGGTGATGACACAAAGCTCTTTGCCTATTCTGCCAAGGAATTCACCAAGTTCTCTCCTCATGATATCTGTCCTGCACCACAGAGAGTACCAATTCAGTTGGTTCTTAATACTGTATTCAACCAGAATTCTTTGCTTCTAATTCAGGGTTCTTATTGGTTAGATATTCTCTGTGTTCGCATGAAAGGTGGAGCCATGCCAGATACTTGTCCTGGTCCTTCGAGAGGCCAGGCAAATACAGATTTACTAGCTCGAATTAAAACCAAAGCATCTCGGAAGATCATATGCAGTGCCATTTCTAATTCAGGGAAGCTATTTGCTTATTCAGATCATGTTAAACCCAATCTATTTGAGTTGAAGAAACACGGTGGCAAAACTACATGGACTGTTAATAAAAAGCAACTCCCACAGAACTTACCATATGCACATTCCATGGTTTTTAGTTCTGATTCTTCACGGTTGATGATTGCAGGGCACGATAGAAGAATCTATGTAAGCTCTGATATTTAATTTTTGTTTCATTGTCTGTTCTTTTTTGTGTGATTAATTTCATAATTTTCACTACTGTTATATGTTGTGACATGGATAAAGAAAACTTGAAATTCTAAGTAGCTGTTTTTATAATGAAAATGTTCCCATCTTATTGTGGGACATGGATCTTAATTGGCAATATGATGCTACCCTTTCTTTAATTTGGAGTAAAAAATTGTGCAATTGTTCATTATAGGAGTTCTACCAAGTACCAACTTGTTATAGCGTAGACATGAATATGAACATAAGAACAGAATTTGAACAGAATTTGAAGAAGTGCATGAGCATTAAGTACTCCCATTTTGCTATTATGGAAACTGTATATATACTCCTCAGACTCATGTTAAAAACCCCCCAATCCTATTCCTCGATGTTGAGAACCACCACGGCTAGGCGCCACAACCACCTACATGGACCCTCGTCTAATAAAGACAGCACAACTTCCCCCACAGACACTTACCACTATGCACATTCCATCGACGTCTTATTAGTTCCTGATTCTTCACCGGTTGCATGCATCTGCACGGGCACGATAGAGACATCTACTGTACAGACTCTTGATATCTTAATCTTTTGTCTCTCATTCGTCTGTTCTTTTCTTCTTGGTGTGATTTATTTCATAATCTCTCTCACTAACTGTTTATACTGTTGTGACCATGGACTTACAGAACAACTCCTGAAATTCTAAGTACGCTGTCTGTTTATCCCAATCGATCGTTTCCCATCTTACTTTGGGCACCATGGCCATCTTAATTGCGCAATATGATGCTACCCCCCCCCCCCCTCTCTTTTAAACCTTTGGACGTCCCAAAAAATTGTGGCCAATCTTGTTCATTATAGGGAGTTCTACCAAGTACCAAACTTCGTTTTATACCGCGTAGACCATGAAATATACGAAACATAAGAACCAGAATTCCTGACCCACGCAATTTGAACGAAGTGCATGCAGCATACCTAAGCTCACTCCCATTTTGCTCATTCAATGGAACTGCTCATATACCTATCACCTATACTCATACTACCTATTACTACTACCTATCTCTTCCCTTAACCTAGGGTAACCCTCTCCTACTCCCCCTGGTGCACTAAGTGATCCTGTTATTAATCGCTCTAAAATTCATGATCATTATTCTTAGTTTCAGGCTATTTCCTTTCTGTCTTTTTCCCTCAGTTTTCAAAACCGTGTTCAGGGCGCCATCGCCAAAGCTCTTTGACTCCTTGAGTTGTTATTTTTCCCTCAACCCTTTTCCTCGCCGTAACAGTGTTCGTGACCTAACTAATTTTTCTCCAGGTTTTCTGTTGTACCATTGCTAAGCATTTGAAATCTATGCCATCACTCGATTGCCCATGCTAGCCCCTATAACCCACAAATCCCTCCTTTTTCTGTCCATTTCTTTTTCCCCATTACGCTTAAAACCTATAATTAGTTTTTTTAGCCATTTTTTCTATGAACCTAATCATGCTGATTCTCTTTTGTCTCCTTCACCCAGACAGCCTCCTACGATACTTTCTCAACTCTTCTAGAGGCTTGGTTTTATGACTACCCAACTCTCTTCTCCATTTACATACACATTGCCCTCTGCAGGTCCTGCCTGGCACTGCTGAGCAGCTCTACAACTAGTCATCTCTTCTCACGCCTCGGCGTGAGGACTCACCTGATGAGGGCCAATTCCTCGCCCCTGCAACCTCCTATCAACTAAATGTTTCACCAGTGGTGATGGCCCAGTGGTTAGCTATATATAATTTTTAATAGGGTACTCTCTACTCTGGTGCATAAGTGATCCTGTTATTAATGTAAATCATGATGCATTATTTTAGTATTGCTATTTCCTTTCTGTCTTTTTCCCTAGTTAAAAGTTTCAGGGCGCATGAAGTTTGCTTGAGTTTGTTTTTCTAACCCTTTTCCTGGTACAGTGTTGTGACTACTATTTTTCCAGGATTTTGTTGTAAATTGTAAGATTTGAAATCTATGATACTGATTGCATGCTGCTATAACCCAAATCTCCTTTTTCTGTATTTTTCCTTCCCATAGCTTAAAATATAATAGTTTTTTTACCATTTTTTATGAACTATCATGTTGATTTTTATTGTTTTCAGACAGTCTAGATATTCTCAATTTCTAGAGGCTTGGTTTTAGATACCATCTTTCTCATTTACATAAATTGCTGCAGGTTGTGGATGTGAGCAGCTTACAACTAGTGCATTCTTTCACGCCTCGGCGTGAGGACTATGATGAGGAATTACCTCCAACTGAACCTCCTATAACTAAAATGTTTACCAGTGGTGATGGGCAGTGGTTAGCTGCCATCAATTGCTTTGGAGATCTCTATATATTTAATCTGGAAACGCAAAGGTATCTAAGCATACTTTTCCATGCAATGATCTATATTTATTAAATTATTATTATATAGTGTTATCTGAAACATGATCATGGTTTTTGCATACTGTCATTATTTTTTTTTTATCTCTGATTGTTTAGACATCATCCTCAATTGCACATTCAGAGATTTTTTATTTGAATGGATGCTGGTCTTAGGAGCTTTTATGTATTGTTTAGTTCAATTGAGTGTTATAAAGTCTGTTATATACAGGCTCTAATGAACTTTTCAAGATTTGTTCAAAAATTGTGATTTAATCCTAATTTTTCAACTATTGATGCAAATGTGGTCATGTTATGTAGACCCTCATATGGTCGGATAAATTTCACCCGGCATACCTAAACTGTAGATCCTATTTCAGTGGCATACCTAGAATTCAATTTGTTACACAAAAATATATCAACTTTAATTAGTGTTACAAAAAAAAGGCATCAGGCCAATTTACCGGTGATTTTAAGCCGGAATTCTGATGTGGACTGTCAAGGCATCTAAATTAGCTGAAAATGCCACATAATCTTGCCACATCAGCTTTGTCACAAAATTTTCTCTCTCCTGCCCATTGAATACTGGTGCCCGTTTCTCTTCCTTGTCTTCTTCTCTTTCTATCTATACTATGTTGTTGCATCACTAATTGAACAGAATTCACCAAACGATAAAACTAAACAATTCCAGAAAATTGAACAACAAAATGAACAGAAAATCCATATAGAAAGCACACTTGTTCTACTACTTTCAAATATCACGCCTTTAATCAAAGAAATCAATGGCTCCAATTGAATCTGAGCCTCTCTGCATGTGCGACACAAGGAGCTTGTGTTACGGTTACTGATGTTCCCTTATCACCAGACGGCCTAATCCCTTCACGAAATGGCTTATCCGAAAACGACAACACATCTGTAGTAGAAGATCTTCGTGGCCGGCTTGCCAAAACTGAGGCTCAGCTGGAGTGAGCTAGGGCTCGAGAAGATAAGCTCAGTTGCCGGCGAAGGTTTCTTGAATCATACCTCAGCAAAGGTGTCACAAGCAGCAAGAACACATCACTCGCCTCTTAATAATTGTCAGTGATTTAACTAATACTTAATAATTGTCGGTGATGTAACTAATACTCTTCTCAGATTATGGCTTCTTGGAACCAGAACAAACCTCCTCAAAGTCCTTCCTCTATAAGACTTGATTTTACTGCTGAGAAAAGTAACTAAACTAAAATGAAATTTGGATCTAAAAAGTTGGACTTCTGTCTGGTATTTTATTAATATGGAACGTCAATTTGTAGAAAGATGGTTTGGGGTCCTCTGGCAGCGATGGTGGTTGGTGAGGTTGCTGGCAGCTGTGGATGAAGACGCTGAGTGTTCATAAGCTAGGGCATCAGTTTAAGGGAAAAGATATGGCATAAGAGAGAAAATTGTGATCTTAGGGAATTGTGTGCCAAAGCTGATGTCGCATTTTCAACTAACTTAAATGCTTTTTGACAGTTCACTTCAGATTTCCAGCTTAAAATCACTGGTAAATTGGTCTGATACCTTTTTTTTTGTCGCACTAATTAAAGTTCATATATTTTTGTGTAACAAATTGAATTCTAGTCATGCCACTGAAATAGGGTCTAGAGTTCAGGTATGTCGGGTGAAATTCACTCCATATGCCGTGGTTTGTAAGTGTGATGCATTGATGGTGGAGGGTGCTGGATAGGGAAAAGGTAGACCTAGAACCATACGGAGAGAAGTTGTCTCAAGAGATCTACTACTTCTTGGAAGTATTCATATACCTGACTCTAACTAGTTTGTGATTTGATGCAAATGATTGATTTCTCTGGTGAAGAAATGGTTTTTGTAGACTGGAAAAGTTTGAGGTACTTCTTATCCACTTGTGAAAGAGCCTAGGAGCTTTTTTGATTGTCCACGATTCATTAGAAACCTTTTGATATTTGGGACAAATTGCTTAGAATGGTGAAGGGATTGAGTGAGAGTAACTGTGAGGTTTGGATGCTTATTTCAACTTAATACTTTAATTGATTATTCAAAATGATTTACTGTTTTGCAATATTTTATTCTTGTGGAACAGGCAGCATTGGTTTATATCAAGATTGGATGGTGCCTCTGTTACAGCTGGTGGTTTTCCTCCTCAAAATAACAATGTGCTTGTAATCACAACGTCTTCAAACCAGGTCTATGCATTTGATGTGGAGGCAAAACAGTTAGGAGAATGGTCTATTCGGCACACATATGTTCTGCCAAAGAGATACCAAGAATTTCCTGGGGAGGTTATTGGGATGTCATTCTTACCTTTGTCAAGTCCGCCATCTGTTATTGTTTATAGTGCCAGGTGCTGCTTTTTTCTTACTAGATTGCTTTTATGTCATTGCACAGGTGGATTATTTTAATATCTTCTATGGTCAAGGCGGATAACAAGAAATATAGAAAATATCATTTTCTGTCTACTTTGGAAGAATACATTTTCATTATTTTTCTATGTAATTAAAAGATAAAACCATTGCTTATATTTTTATTGTGTTGTAGGGCTATGTGCATGATTAACTTTGGGATGCCAGTGGATGGAGAAGAGGACAATGATTTAGTAAATGGTTCATTTTCTCCAATGAAGAAGTTACGGAACAGTCTTATTAATGGGAGACTGAAACGTAAGTTGAAAGAGTGTCAAACAGAGGCTAAACATCAAAAAAATTTTGAATTTCTTGCTTTCAGAGATCCTGTTTTGTTTATTGGAAACCTTTCTGAAAATTCTATCTTGATCATAGACAAACCATGGATGGATGTGGTTAAAACTTTCGATGCCCCTCCTGTACACAGACATATATTTGGCACATAACTGCTCTACCAATGCTTGTTTATGGCATTAGACAGAGATTGCAAATGTGGCAAGTGATCCCACAATTTTGACAATACATTAAAGATTTTTTTGATACGAGATGGGGTTGAAGAGTTTGAGTGAGGGGATCAAAAGAATGTTGTCAATTGTATTCCTAAAATAATCGCTGACCTGTTAAAGTAGTTTTTGTTTTTTTAGTCTTGCCAGAGTTTCTTCTTCACCTTGTTCAAATTCATGTCTTTGATCTGTAAGTGGATAGATTCAGTCAAGTAGTAAAATCTTTGTTCTCCTCCTCTTGCTGTCTTTTCTATTTTCTTTGTTCTATTTATTATCAGAATATGTAAAGAAAGCCTATTCAGCTAGAAATATGCATATTTTATTGGTCTGTGTTTTAAGTATGCAGGTTAGCTCAAATTTGTGTTTGTGGTTTCCAAGTGTTTATTACATAAGAGAGAATTCTTGGGTCATCGCTTTGCTTGAGTAGAAGTTATGTGTTTGCTCACTGCTTACATAAGACGGTGGAGATTGACCTCTTTTACTAAACAGATGCATGCCCATTGGATTATTAACCTAATGACTAACAGCATCAATTTGGTCGAATAATCAGGCTGTGAGCTTGATCCAATTGGCAATTCTATTCAATGTTTTGTTTCATCGTACAAGGTAAAATTTTTGAGTGAACCAATTCAGTGTTTGATCTTTAAGCGAATAGATCCGGTCCGAGTATGAAGATCTTTCTTCTCTCTATTTTCTATTTTTTAGTTTTATTTGCCATCAGAATATTCACAGGAAAGCTATTCAGCTCGAAATATATGTAAGATGATAATTTCTTGACTCTCCTTTTTCATTATTGACCATGCTTTCTTGTTTGATTATTGAGAGCTTAGACTTTATCAAAATCATAAGAGTTGAGGGATTTTTGATTATGGGTTTATGGTGGATTCGGTATATTTTCTTTTTTTGGATAAAAGATTCAGAAATGGAGGGGCCTGAAGCCTAATAGCAGAGTTTCAAACTTATAAGAGGTTAAATAGGGGTTTAAGATTAGCAAAAAAACGGATTTGAATATGATCCTAGACATGATAAAGAAGAGAACAAGAGAGTTTGATTAGGAAGTTTAGTGCATAGTTGCAGTAACAAGCTAAAGCTATGTTGACAGGAAGAAGAAACGAAAGGACAGAGTGATAAAGTGATGTCGACTCTTTGAGGGTTTGAGGGGTGAAGATATGAGATTTGGATTGGATGGGTGGAGAGGTTAGGGATATTTATGATTACTAGGGATATTTCAAATGCATTTAATAATTAGTTAGACAGATGATGCTTGTTTCAAATTTTATTATTACTAATGTTTGGACAAAACTATTAAAGAAATGTAAAGACAAAATTGTAAATAAAAAAATTATAAAATTATAAAATAAAAAAAACAAAGATACCCACAACATTACTAATTAGGTTAGAAGACAACTCTAAAAAGCACAATACAAAAAACACCAAAAATAATTGTTAAAAAAGGATAAAATCTCAATCAAATACTAAAGGATGTAAAATAAATAAACAGAAAATACAAGGATATCCTTTAATACCTGGGAATGGAGATAGAAATTCCCATGCATCTTAATATCCCTCTTCAAATTTTCATTTACCTTAAAAATGTAAATATTAGTGCTAGAAAAACATACAAAATAACCTATGCTATCTCTTAATTCTCCTTATCATCATCTAGTTTCTTCAATTAAAAAACTGCAGAAAATGAGGCATCTTTAGATGTCGGGATCTCATGTTAAGGCTTAGAGACTCCATCTCTTGCCGGCTTAGCTTAGCAAAACTACTTTTAACTTTAACTTGAGTCCCTTAGTCCTCGTGTAATAACAAAAGTTAAGAAAAACATAATAAAAGATCAGTAAGTGATTTCAGGATTGCACCAGGTCACCCTCTTGGATATTGTTCCTCATACAATCAAACAGTAAATTTGGATTAATATGGATATAAATCAATGACAATTCCCACTAGTATGCAATGCTCTTAAACATAAAAAAATAATTTAGTATCAAAGAATATAATGGTGAATTAATAAGTAAATTTTGATATAGAGTTTGAATTTATAATAGGTGAATTCCCATAGAGATAGAATGATTTTTGAGTTTAAAATTTAAAAATTTAAACATTTATAATTTAAAATGTTATTTTGTTGTAGATTATCTATATAGATAAAATTTTCAAATTTTATAAAGAAAATTTTATAACAAAAGTTTTAAAAAAAAAATGTTATGAAAGTGCATTAAAAATTAGAAAATTTTAAAAAAAAAAAAAGGAAAAAGAGAATTCTCAAAAAGTAGAACGCCACATCAACATTTTAAAAATAATTTTTGCTTCAAGATTATATATAGATTACTTCTAGATCTATCTTTTATGGTTTTTTTTTTTAAAATTATTCTTTGTTGTTGTTGGGCTTCAAAATTGACATCAAATGAAAAAATTATTTTGTAGAATATGTTATTACACGCTTCTTTTTCACATAATTTACCTTTTTTAATTTTTTCTTGAATTATTATCTTATTTTTTAAATAAAATAATTTTATTTTTTTATTACATGCGGCCTAATTTTCAATTCCACCTCGAACTTTTTAAATAGTTGCAATTTCTCTCTAAAAATTCGGTATATGAATATAAATATGGAATTATTGTTCATTTCCATTCTATATTCCATATACCAATATTTTACAAAATGCATTCCATTTTAAATTTCATATTCCAAAATTCTATTCCAAATTAATATTTAGTTTGGAATTTTGATTTGGATTAAAATATTCCGATTCAAGTTGCACCCCCTGTCGGACCGGGGGTATCCAAAAATACCCACACCGTTGCACCCCTAAATTAGGTAGTTGAAAAAGAAAGGGAGATAAAGAAAGAATAAAAGAGGATAAGAAATAAAGTAAATGCTTAGTGTATTTGAGTTGGTTGTATTGATTTGCGTGTCATTTATAATAATGTCATCCTCTATTTATAGGAATCCTAAGAGTGCACTTTAAGAAACGTGAATATTCTAGAATATTTATAGTACTATTCAAATTAAGTTTTGTGTTGCTCATAAATGACTGAGAGAGTATTTAGTTTAGTTGATTCATGTAAATGATAGCTGTTTCGTACTTAACAGCTAAACAGCTAGGTTGTAGGTGTTTGGTAAGCATAGCTGATAAAACTCTCAATCAACAACTAATAACTGATAAAAGTCTCGATCAGCTATTGATTCCATCACCTACGTTTTTTAGCTTTTTCACAATAGTTAGAGCTTATTTATATTTTGTCATTTCAGATTTCATTAACGTCATAAAAATAATTGCTAAAATATTTATTTTTTAAATTAATATTTTTTATCACTTTATTGATAATTATTTAAAAATAAAATTTTTTCTTAAATATTATTTATTAATTTATTTCTAATATAATCATTAAATAAAAAATAATTACTATTTCATCTCTTTATTATTATTATATTATATATATAATATATAATATATATATATTATTATCACATTATACTTCATAAATATAAAAAATAATTTATGTTTTAAATGGTCGATTGCATTGTATTATTTACCACATTATACATCATAATATATAAAAATAATTATGTTTTAATGGTCATTGTCATTGTATATTTTAACAACAACCGCTATCAAAAATTTATCAAACATGAGCAGTAGTTAGCTGCAGTAATCAGCTAACTGCTATCTAACCATTAGCTAAAAGCTATCAACTGGCATAAACCGCTAAACCAAATGGACTCTTAGCTCACCCATATTCTATTTAAAACATATTTATGCAACACACTAGTAAACTGATTAATTAATTATATGTATATATATACTCCCTCGTTACCAAACACGAAGAGTAATCAACTATCCGCTATCAGCCATCAGCTACAAGTTATCAACTGGTATGAACTGCTGAATCCAGTGTTCTGAGAATCGAACCGGTTATTGAACGGGTAAAGGCAGGGGTTCATTGAATTGGGAGGTTCAATCGAGTTCAATACGATTCAACTAAATTTTTATATATAATTTTTTTAAATACAATAAAATATAGAATTTGCAAATACTTATAACTTTTTACAAAAGGAATAAAAATGACTAATTTAATATTAAAAATAACTAATTACTGTAAAGTATAATATTATTCATCACAAATTTATAATTTTAATTTTTACTAAAACATATGTTTGGTTAATCTAGAAAAGATGCATTATTAATAGGCATGAAATGGCTTAACCATCAATTTCACCTAAACTTTTTAAATAATTGCAATTTCACTCTAAATCGATTTTTGTATCCTGGGCACCTTGGGCACCCTGAACTAATAACTTAGTTGACATTACACCATAATTTAAATAAATATCCAACTCATTATTTTTACACCTTAAAATTGATTCACTTGTAATTTTTGTTATTTATATGAATACTAGGGCTTGATTTTATTATTTATTGTTTAAATACTTGGATATGAAGTCCATTTTTTTACATTATTTGAATCAAAATTTTAACATTTGTTTACTTTTAAGCTGCAATTTGTTTACTTTCAAATGCTTAGGCATTTGAACCATATTCCAATGCACCAACGACATTTTCTGCTTAGTAGCCGTAGACCCCCAGATAAACTGACGACAAGCCTATTGCACCCTACTACAAACACTTATAGGAAGAACAATAGTTTGCATGGAGAAAATGGCATAGCCGCTAACACTGAATAAGACAAGGTAATTCTACTCGCCAAAGACAAATGCGATGCCGACCAACCAGCAAACTGAATAGAAATCGAATCTAAAATATGTTGATATGTATTTTTGGTAATGCAACCATGCAAGAGAAGCATACCAAGATACTTACCGAAACTGGTTATCTCCCAAATCCTAAGCTAGCACACAAATTTCGTCTTAGAAAATAGCACGTTAGTCTTGGCTATTTTTACCCTCTGACCTGAAGAAGCACAAAAATCTGCTAGCACATTATTTATGACAGTCGCTTGGTCCTTCGATGCTTCTACAAACAAAAGTAAGTCATCTGCAAAAAATAAATGCGAAAGAGGAGGCCCACCCCTATTCAAATAAACTGGTTTCCATAATCCCTGCGAAACCATTAAAGAAATAAAATGAGCCAATCTCTCCATGCATATAACAAAAAGATATGGCGATAGAGGGTCCCTTTGGCGGAGCCCCCTAGAAGGATGTAACATGTAAAAAAGCTCCCCATTCCATAAGACCTGCATAGAAGACGTGGAAACACAATCCATGATAAGATTAATTAAAGGTATAGGCAAACCCACATCCAATAAAGAATCATGGAGAAAATCCCATCAAATCCTGTCGTACGCTTTTTCCAAATGCACCTTGATCGCCATAAAACCCCTCTTATCTGTCTTCCTACGCATAGAATGAACAATCTCCTAAGCAATAATAATAATACCTGTAATATGCCTACCTGGTATAAAATTGAATAGGGTAGGACTGATAACGAGAGAGAATAAGCTTGATCTTATTTAGTATTTACCATAAGTTTGGTAATAATTTTATACACCATCGAGCGTAGACTAGTGCGATTAAGCTCAGGCTCAATTTTATTACCACCATAGACCTTATGAACTTCTGAGCAAATGTCACCTCCTACTACCAACCAGAATTTCTAGAAAAACCCACATGGAAGCCATCTGGACCTGGAGCCTTAAAGGCTTCATACCAAAAAGAGCTTCCCGAACCTCCTTATCAACAATCGGACTTTATAATAAATTAAAACTGGAAAGGGGAATAGACGAGAACATACAAGTAGTAGGAAAAATGAGCGAGTAAGGGACCTTCTGTGCATAGAAAGTAGCAAAAAAGTCACCTGCTAGCTGTTTTAATGCTGTAGATCTGTAATCCAAACCCCATTATCATTCCTCTCAACATCTCTGTACGATTTCGCTTCCTCCGCTTTATAGTCTTTAGATGGAAATAAGGAGCGTTTTTTTCACCCTACTGCAAGCATTCAGCCTTGGATTTTTGGAACCAAATTAATTCCTCTTAGAACAAAACCTGGTCTCACTCAGTTTAAAGGGTAAGCAAGTCAGCAAGCCTTTGAGAGTATCATTGCTCCAAACAATTTTGAATTCCAGCAATGTGATTTAAAAGATTTTTTTCAATAAAACACATTACCAAAAACTTCCTTGTTCCCCACCTTAATTCGGGGCGTAAGGTGGGCAATATTGTTAACCAAAAGATTATCCGCATTCCATGCTTTCTAAACTAGAGAGCTAAAGTCTGTATAGGTCATCCAAGCTGCCTGGCACTGAAACACCCGCCTACTAACATTAGAAGCCACTATGCTATGCAATTTAATCAACAACAGCCTATGATCAGAATGACAAGGGAAAGATGAAAGACCGCAGCTTCTGGAAAATTTAATCTCCAATCCCAATTGCAAATGGCTCGATCCAACCTCTCATGTAATTTTCCCCTTCTCCATGTAAACTTAAGCCCTTTAAATCCCATATCCAACAAATTTGAGTTCCCAAACCATGAGATGAAACCTCTACACATCCCGGTTCTAGAGTTGACCCTCACCTTAACGTTCAGTAGCCGAAAGAATAGAATTAAAATTACCAACCAACATCCAAGGAGTAGCCCATACCCTCATTAATAGTTTGTAGACAGTCCCATAATTGATCCTGTTGACTTTCCACAAGACTTCCATAAACTGCCATAAAAAACATAGAAAACTTATTATTAAACGGAAGCTAGCAATGGATGAACTGCCTATGTGAACACATTTTTCATACCCTTGTATTAAGCAAAATCAATCACAAAATGCGTAGTTCAAACCGATAGCCAATCCATGAAAAAATCAAAAATCAGTTGCAATTTCAGTCATAATTCTCTCCAATTTACGATTTTTGAGACAAGGCTGGCACCATTCGACAGTAGACTGAAAGAGCTTTCCAATAGTAACTTACGGGCTAAAATCGGAGTTGAAATGGTCCTCAAATCGGTCAAACCAGCTAGAAAGTGTCAAACTGCACTAGAACTACAGTGCTGGAGGAGCCAGCCAGGCTAGCCAAGCCTAGCCTTTCTGCCATCCAACTAGCTGAGCCTTGCTGCCGTCCGGCTTCGGCTAGCCAGCCAACGGTGCAATTTTTGCCCCCCAATCCCGCATTGCCTAATTTTGGACGCTTCCACTACCTACTAAGCCTATAAATACCCCACTAAAAACGTCATTCAAAACATAAAAAACTTACAAAAGAGACTTGGAGCAATATAAGCAACCTATTTAAAGGCATTTGCTCCTAAAAGTCTTTTGGCCAAGTGTGGATTTTCACTTAAGTGAAACACCATAACAGTTTAAGGTTTTTCATACCCTGTTTTTTTTGAGTTCGTCAAGGATTTTCCAAATGGAAGATTTTGGACGCGCCTCCAAGACACCGATAAAGCACGCTATAAGAGGTAGGCCCCACATGTCTCTTAATTTTAATGCTTTAATTTAATTAGGATAGATTTAATATTTAATTAGGTTGGTTTAATTAAATGTCTAATTTATTTTAATTTAATTAAATGCCTAGTCTAATTAAATGCCTAATTAGAATTAATTAAATTTAATGTTTAATTAGCTTAGATTTAAATGCATGATTTATTTTAGTTTAGAATTAAATTTAACAAATTGCATGATCACTAAGAATTATTTAATTAGGCTAGAATTAGTTAATTAAGTACAAAGGTAATTTTAATTAATTGCATATGATTAATTATATTAATTTAGCACTTAAATTATATAATTGCATGATCACTTAGAATTAGTCAATTAGCATAGAATTAAATAATTAGGCTCAATGTTTAATTAATTAACTTAGAATCAATTAGATGCATGATTAGATTAAATTAAGACATGATTATTTTAGAACCTAATCAATTACATGATTAACTTAGATTTAATTAAGATGCATGATTACTTAGCTTAGGATTAGTTGAATGTTTATTTTTAATCTACAAAAATAAATAGTTAGACCTTTTTGAATTCAATTAAATGCATGTCTAATTTAGTTTAAAGATTTTAATTCTTAGAATGTTTAAGTTAGTTGTTCACTCACATATTTTAGGTTAGAGACTTTGAATTATTTTTCTTGAATTTAAACATCATTTCTTTAAAGTTGACAAATAATTTCGGAACTATACCTATGCCTTAACACTTTGTTGAGTATCAATTTAAGCACCTCATATGTATTGTATTTGTTGTAATTGCCTTCACTGTGAGACTCTAAGCTTTTGAATGGCATGATACGACTTAGATGAATGGATAGGATTGCTTGTTTTCTTTGCTTCGTTATTTGCACTGCTTTATTACTTTCTTCTTAAAGCTTTTGGCAACAAAATGCCAAATGAACCATTTTTTACATGATTAGGCGACTAAAGCCTCTTTCAAAATCTTTGGTGACTAAAGCCACTTTTCAATCAATCGGCAATTAAAGCCACTTTTTCAAATCAAATTGGCAACTAAAGCCACATTTTGACAAACTTGAAGACTAACGCCACATCTTCATAAATTTGGCGACTAAAGCCACTTTTAAATCAATCAGCGACTAAGGCCACTTTTCCAAATCAAATTGGCAACTAAAGCCACTTTTCAATAAAATTTGAACTAAAGCCACTATTCAATCCAATCGGCGACTAAACCCACTTTTCTATCAATTTAGCGACTAAAGCCATTTTTTCAAACCAAATGACACTGTTTCACCCAAAATGGCGACTAATGCCAACTTTCAACTCAAAACAATGCACAAACATGCTTTTTCATAATTAAAATTACCATTTCACAATGGGAAGAACTGCTTGGTTCTGATTCCTATAAAATTTGAACTAAAGCCACTATTCAATCCAATCGGCGACTAAACCCACTTTTCTATCAATTTAGCGACTAAAGCCATTTTTTCAAACCAAATGACACTGTTTCACCCAAAATGGCGACTAATGCCAACTTTCAACTCAAAACAATGCACAAACATGCTTTTTCATAATTAAAATTACCATTTCACAATGGGAAGAACTGCTTGGTTCTGATTCCTATTCAATAGGATAAACATGCAAACTCAACAACTAAAACTCAAGTTGCAAACCAAAGATCCGCAAAAAAATTCTTTTTTTCCTTTTGTCCATTTCTCTTGCTTTTTTCGGATTTGCTTATTTTATGCACTTCATTGGGAGACCTGTGATTGTCCTAGAATCCCCATAAGGGGCTAGAGGCAATACTCTCTTCTTTCCTTTCTTTGTGCTTTTCTTTTATTTATGCTTCCTTTATTGCTTTCAATGAATGCTTTCATTATTTTAATTTGAAAAACGTGTGGTCATCCTAGAATTCCCTTATAGGCGCTAGAGATGACATTCTCTTTTGATTAGCTCTATTTATTTAAATGTTGCCTTTTAATCTCTTATTGGGAGGTGTGTGGTAATTCTAGAATTCTCTAAACGAGACTAGAAATGACACTCATTTTTTATTCTTTCATTGTTTTATTTATCGCGTTTTTTATTACTTACTTTAAATTGCTTTCTTATTATTGCCGCGCATTTATGCATCTTTAAATTGTTTTTCATTCAACGAAGCACTAACACTTAGGCCAACTTACTGATTGTTTTAAAACCAAAAACTTAGTGTTAGCAATTTCGCAAGTGTACGGATTGTGCAATTAGTATATATAAAGATATCGCCCTCAAGGATAGGGGGACTGGGTATTAGTTTTGAATCCAAATGTATTGTCTAGAAAATAGCCGAAAATCTGTTTGTTCTATTAACTAAAATGAAAAACAAGCAAATAGTCTAAATCTGTATTTATCAAATAGGGAAGCATTAGTGTTAGGATCAACACCATTGAACAACATTGTAATCTTAAATCTCCTCTTTCAACCTATCAACGAATGCATCTTGAAGGGGAAGGAGTCCATTTATATTTATCCTCTTTTCCCAACAACATAAACGTTCTAGAATCATAAGAACACCTACTTTCGTGAAATGATGATTCCAGCCCATTAATCTCTATGACTCTCCTTAATTCCTCAAATGAATAGCTTATTCCTAAGTCTATCTCCTAGGTTCTTGTGTGGGTCAGTCCAATGAGGGACTTCACCTTCCAGTTCTTTATTCTCCCATTTCTTTTCATACAAATATGGAGCTCTATCATATTCATAAGCATTAAGCACACACACATAAGAATCAAGAAAACATTCATTTAAATTGAAATAAAGAGAGATGTTTACATAGTTGCTACTCAAATTGGTTTTCACCCAACACTAGCTAAGGGAACTACTCACTATACATTATCAAATTACAAATCAAAAAACTGAGAGGAATTGATAGCTCTAGGACCATCCTTGTCCACAAAGGAAACTAAGAATGAAATCTTGTTTCAATTGCTAACTGTGGAGTAGATCCTTAAGCTAATCCCTGATTAATCCTCTTTAAATCTGAATTGTTCCCTAGCTATTTCTTGATGAACTCTGCATCCCTTCATCCTCCTTTTATAGCTTGAAGAAGATCTTGCAGTATCCTTTTTTAATATATTTTTGAATAGATCTTCAACCTATTCTCCCGCTTTCAACTTGCTAGCTAAACAAAAGTTATGGTCGGCAGAGCGCCTGTGCATTCTTGAACCTTCCTTCACCATGCCAAACTCACGGCCCGACATACGGGCTGACAATAATAGCACGACCAGTGCGACGGGTGTGCTTTTTGTCACAATATGTGTCTAACTCTTCAGTGCATAAAGCACAGCTGGTGCACCGCCTGTGCATTTTTCAGCTAAGTCTCTTCCTGGTGGAATGGTAAAAAATGATTGAAATGACCTTTGTTTTAGGGTTTTCCCCCTCAAAAAGGGTAGGACCTGCACTATAAGACAAGCTAAATGCATGTAAAAACTAACTTTCCTTTCTGTGCCCTGCTCTCTCGTGTCTTCTTCCTTTGCGTTAGTCCCATTGCCGCCGCCAATTCATTCCGATGAACTGTAAGAGCTTTTTTGTGAAGCGGAGCTCCAACTCAGTAACAGGTCTGAATCGGAGAAACTTGCTGCTCTCCACCTCTTAGAATCGGGGAAACTCAGTTCTGAGGACCCAACAGCGGCCATGGCAGCCATCTCATCATCTTCACCGCCATAACTCAAAATCTTAAAACGCACAACAAATGCACAAACTTTAACCTCAAAATCTCCGAATCCTAAACAATCCCAAAAATCTCCAAAATTGTAGTTTTTTTTTCTTCTCTCTCCCAGTCCACTTGACACAAGCTAATGAAAAATGAAGAACCCAAATCAAAACCAAAAACAAAATCAGTAATCCACCGCTTGTTTCTTGGAATTTTAGAGAGAATATGCCTTTATCTGTGGAATGTATTTTAAAGAAAGAAATGAGCTATTAATATGAAAGAGAGAGAGAGAAGAGAAGAGAAGAGATAAAAGGAGGGTCTACACCGTATACCTTTTTTGTTCTGGTTGATGGCAGCAGGCTTACTTTCTAAGCTAAATTGTGAGTAATGGAGGTCGCACTTGGAGGCATCACAAGGAATAATTGGACGGCGGGCTTCTTTCGTGTACTGCCGGATACTGGCAGTGATCAGATATTGGTGTTGCTGGCGATGGTGATTTGTTTGCGTGCAGCGATGGAAGCTCTCGGTGTTGCTGGCAGCGGTGATTTGGGAGAGGAGGCTAATTTTCGTTTTCATTTTAAATAATCTTTAGTCATTTTATTTATATTTTAAATAATTTTTTATTTGGGTTTTTAGTGTGTTTGGACTTATTTTTGTTTCTATTTTAATATTTTTACTCCGGTTGACTTTCTTGGGTACCGTTTGTATGATATTTCAAGGGTATTTAGGTATTTTTATGTAAAATTACTGTAAAAAATATGACTTTTTCAACTGAAGAACTAAAAATTCAGATGAAGGCATACATGAGGGACTCCGGAATAATTATCATAGGCAACGAGGATGAAGTCATGTATTTGTAAAAATTCAGGGACTCAAAAATAATTCTCCCTATATATATTTTGATCATGGATTTAGTTGAGCCAATAAGTTATAGGTTATTTAGTGAACTGGTGACCTAACTTGACTCATAAATTATAAAAAAAAAATAATTAACCAAATCTAACTCATTATGTATTTAAAACTTGTTAGCTTATATTAGGTTGGGTTACATTGCAACAGATCATGTGCAACCCTAACTAATACTATATAGGGGTTGAATTTGATATGTAACAAGTTACAGTTTTCTGTTACAGATATATTGAGATTTAGTCATTTTTACATATTTTTTGGCTTAACCTACAAAAGTACCCTCAACTTATCGACTTGTTGCAAAATCATTCCAAAATGACCTTTGTTTCTTCGGCACCTCCATTTTCAAATTTAGATATGTTAATACCCAAAATTATTTTAGGATTAGAATTTCCAATAAAAAATATTTTAATAGGCCCCATCTAGCTATTATGTCTTAACTTAACTATAGTGCCTTAAAAAAAAAAAAAAAAAAAAAAAACTATAGTGCCTTAAAAAAAAAAAAAAAAAAAAAAAAGCTTAATACGCTTTCATTTCACCTAAGCAATCTATTTGTACAGTAAAAAATAACCTTAACAAATTCTTCTAATTGAAAGTAGAAAGTGTAAAACTGCTTTTTTATTAAAAAAAAAAAAAAAAAAAAAGCTAATACGCTTCATTTCAACCTAAGCAATCTATTTGCTACAGTAAAAAATACCTTAACAAATTCTTCTAATGAAAGTAGAAGTGTAAAACTGCTTTTATTTTTAAATGGATACCATTTATTATTAAAAAAAATAAATTTAAATGAAGAATTTTAAAAGCAAATATAATTAACATCAAACTTTGCGTGCATACAATCAAATGATATAAAACTATCAAATCAAAAGAAAATTTCCAAATTTTGGTATTTTGTCAAAAAAAAAAATCATTTTAGATGCTAAAATCATGCACAAAAAAATACAAATTAAATACCTTGGCTTAAATAGAGAAAAACTCAATATATCAAAAGTCCAACTAAGAATCAATTACAAATGAAAAGATTTTCTTATCTGTATGTACTTGCAAATTAAGTGAACGTAATCTAGCATCTATAAATCAAAAGATAATAAGAAACTATTTGGTCTAAACCATTGAATAATTGAATAGAAAGGATAAGAATAATAACTCAGTCACTCTATTCTTGTTTTGGGTATTGTTAAAATCATTCATATCACATTTGCTACAACCAGATCAGATACAAATTACAATAATAGCAGAGGAAAAGATTATGACGTATAAACGGATAAACTATAGAATTCCAAAATTTCATTTACCAAAAGATTATGATTTGTAAGTCAATAATATAGTTACAGGAAGGTGGAATAGAGAGAGAAAATTAGGACATATGAGAAGCACGATGAAGAGAGAAGCACATGAGACTTGATAGGAAGAGAGAGAAAGAATGGAGAAAGAAAGATCAATAAAATAGTGCAAAAACAGGGAGAAAGAATAGGAGCAGGAGAAGAAAGATGGGTTGATTAATGATTTTATCAAAACGGTGTGTTTTGATTGCTTGAGTTTATTTTTTATCAGGGTTATAGTGTGGGATCCATTAAAATATTTTTTATTATAAACCTGAACCCTAATCTCATTCTAGGGTATTAATATATCTAAATTTAAAAATGAAGATATTAAAGGGACAATGGTCATTTTAAGATATTTTTTCATGTTAGGCCCACATTTTCTCTCAAATTTCAGCCAAAGCAATTAATTCTTGCACATTCTTTCTTTCAAAGATTTGAGCCAAAGCAATCTTAAGGAGAATCTTGAGAATTTTCAAAGAAGTCTATTTAATTTTGGAAGTTACCATTTGTTAAGACTTTTCTTTAAGAATTTTCAAAGAAGTCTATTTAATTTTGGAAGTTAGCGTTTGTTAAGACTTCTCCTCAAGAATTTTCAAAGTCTATTTAATTCTAGAAGTTAGCCTTTGTTAAGACCAACACTTAAAGCTAAATTTATTTAAATTTATCTTTCGTTGGAACATGACAGGCTATCATTTGAATATTGCATATTGATTGCTGTTTGAATATCAAATTCAAGTTTAACAGGAAAAGAAGATGAACATCTGAAAATCTAAAAAGATGAGAAGTATTAAATCTAAGCAGTGTTGTTTTTAACACATTGTACTGAGTCCCTCGCGGTCAACCTTGTGAGTGAAGACACACGCTCTTCCTCCGTCTCATTACAGTATCAATTAAAGTTACTGCACAAGGATTAAGTAAATTATTGAACAATCTAAACTTTAGTAAAAGGTAGTTGTAATTGACTAAACTATCCTTTTATCAATCCTCTAAATAATTATTCCTTTGTCCCAAAATATTTGTTCATGTTTTTATTTTTAGATATCCCAAAATGTTTATTTAATTGATTTAAGAGATATATACTTTTCCTTTTACGTCTCTCATTATAATTGGTTTTAAATTATAAGAATAATTATTTATTTTAAAAGAGGACAATTTTAAAAAAGTAAGAATATTTTATATGATGGGATACTATAATTATTTTATTTTTTAGACTTTGTGTGAAAGTTAAAAGTATAAATATTTTGAGGCGGGGAGAATAATACATATTTAGTGGAGATAAAAATGACGGAAGTAAAGTTGAAAAACATACAAAGAATGCTTCCCTAATATTCTAAAATAACAATTAAAGTGAAAAAAAAAAAAAATAGGACAATTGTAACGGGATAGAGGAGTTAGGAGTGGTTCTTAATATTCAAAATTTGGATAAGACTTTTAGCAGAGAGTTTAAAATTTCTTCATTGATACATAATTTTTATTTTTACCATTAAATTTAAAGTATCTAAATGTAAACAGTTAGATTTAAAGCTAAATAAATTACTAGTCACTTATTTAATAGATTATCAAAAAATAAGCTATTTACTTTTCATATAAATATCTAATTTGTTCTCTCAAAAAAAAATTCTAATTTGTTTCGGTACCAATTAGCCATTAGATTCTAATAACAACTAGTTGCTCATTTTATAAATAAACCTTTCCATATAATTTGTACAAAAAATAAAAAATAAAATCTTTCTTTTATTTTTATTTTGACAAAAATAATACCTTTTGCTAAAAGTAAAAATTTAACTTTTTATAAATAGAATGCAACTATAAGTCTAATATAAAAAGGTCCGTCTAAAAAATTCTTTTATGTATAACTCTAATAAATTAATTAAAAAAAAGTGTCTTATTCTATTGTAAGCCAAACTAATTACATATTAGATTAGCATTACTAATTGAATGATTTTTAAAAAATGATAAATTAATTAATTTACAATTAAAAGATAAATATATAAGAAGCAATGCGATTAAAAAGAAAGTTGCCATGTGAAAGTTAGTGAACAATTCTGTATTCATATAGAATGTTCACTTTCTCTATATTAATAAAAGCCTTAAAATCTTTAAATTTTTAATTTTTAATAAATATAATTATTTAAAATTTGACTGTATCGTAAGGTTTTTATTTTGAACTCCTTATTAGAGAGGTTTACTCGGGATGATGAAAATAAACTAATTAAATCTGAGAAAATTAATTTAGAGAGGTTTACTCGGGATGATGAAAATAAAACTAATTTAAATTCTGAGAAAATTAATATATATATATAAAATATATATTATATTATATATATATATTATATATTATATAATATATATATATATCCTTTAATATTTTTCTTCCTCTCTTGTTTTCTTTTCTTTCTTTTTCAAACATAGCGTGACAGATATTTACCGATCCAAATTCATGTACGTAGTTACCTAACTACTTGAGACAGATGTGGAAGAAAATTTGGTAAGAAGAGATATTTCTCCTTTGGAAAAATTCATGTACGTAGTTTATTTTATTCAAACATTGAATAATTAGAAAATGTGCATTATCAGCAATTTGCATCTAGTTGGTATCTTTTTCCCTTTGAAAGCACCACCTCATCAAGAGAATGTGGCCAAGAAAGCAGTATGCTTGATCCATCGTCTGAAAGTAGAAAAATCAACAAGAGAATCAGCATATCTACATATGGCCAAGAATACATGTGTTTCATGTTTTCTCCATATTAATTAAATATCGATCTCTCTTCTTTATGACAAGAAAAGCTTTCGAAGAAGAGAATTTTGTCAGATATGTTTCAGATACAAAACTCAAAAAGTTATGGATTTTCAGTGTTGTTTTTGACATCCATAATTATTAATGTCTTACTTATTTCCAAAAGGTATGTGGGTGAGGGCGATCTCACTTGGACCAAAAGAGCAGCAACAGAAGCTGAGGCAGTGGCTGCCATTTCTTGCTCAGGCCATGGAAGAGCATACTTAGATGGCCTAATTCTTGATGGAAAACAAGAACCTATTTGTGAGTGCAGTGATTGCTATGGTGGTCCTGACTGCTCTCAACTCTTCCCCAATTGTACTGTAAATGCTAACAGGTACTTCTCTCTCTTATTTACTTACCAAATTAATTAGTATATAGTTTGAAAATTCTGATAAGGTTTAGAAAATTCCATATTGAAAGTTTAATTTCGTTAGCAAAATTATCCTCCTACCAAATAAAAATAAGTTTGACAATTTTTTTTTTTAAATTATAAACTGTAAACAAGTCGAGCTTAAGCTCAAGCTCCGGTTTTCAAACTTGAATCCAGCTCAAGTTCTAATATACCTTTAACTAGCTAACCTGATGATAGTCCTACTGGTGATTAAGTATGGTTAATTTTTCCCTACCAACGTTATAAAATGAACTGTCTTCCATTTTGGTCATCTAAATTATATCTCAGTTTTCTGCTTTTCTGAAAAGTTGGATCTCACCAAACATCTAAATTATAGGTGATGGGAATTGTTGATGTGGATGTGTTCCTGTTTCTGCTGGGCGTTTATTGTTTTTGGGATCGCATGATTGCGATGTTATTTTTATTTTTATTTTTATTCTCTAATTTTATATTTTTATGTTTTCAGCGATAACTGTGATTTTTACTAAAATAAAATATAAAAGTTCAAATTCACGATTCATCCTCCAAATTATTTATTTTTTATAAGAGATATAGTTATTCTTAAAATGTGTAAATGCACTAATTTTCATAAGTTTAAGAAACTATAAGAACAATAGATTAATAGAAGATAACTTTTCTGACTATATGATTGAGACCACAAGACTAGCACTGTTCATGAACTATGGTTTTCCAAAATCTTTTAGAAAATTATAAACATGTTCAAATTTAATTTGATTTTTCAACGTAATACATCAAATAGGTAATAGTGCTCTCAACTTTGCAATTGCATTCTATTATCATAAAATGAATTAATTGCAACATGTAAGTTCATGGTATTTATGCACTCTTCAATAAGTGTTCTGAATGACTTGTTTAATTAATGTTTTAATTTCAATCACGAGGTATAATTAATTTCTATGCTTCATTTTAAGGCATATTTAGAAAAAAAAAAATTAAAAAGTACAATTCAATTGCAACAAGTCCTAAAATTTAGGATGAGGTTGTTTATTAGGCCTTCTGAAATCTTAGAATAGGTATGATAACTAAATAATGACATGCCTAGACTGAGTTCATGAGCCAATTACCAATATCCCGAGGAAGGTCTAAAAAACATGCTTCCCTAGGGGAAGCAGCTACATGTAACATCAAGACTGAATTTATATCGTATTATTATTTGAGCTACTGCTTTAAATTTTAAAACCAATTAAAATATTAATTTCAAAAAAAAAAAAAAAAAAAAACCCAATTTTGGCTACTGCTTTAAATTATTAAAACCAATTAAAATATTAATTTCAAAAAAAAAAAAAAAACCCAAAAAAAAAAAAAAAAAAAAAAAAAACCCAATTAAAATATTGATTATAGATAACTGCAAAATTTTTACACGTTAATCATAAAACTTCAAAACAAAGCAAGCATCATTTTTCTTTTCAGAAAAAACAGTTTCAACTTCAATGTCAAACCGACTCACCATCTTTTACCTACTGCTTATTTTTGTTACAGCGGGGATCCATTATTCTTGGAGCCGTTTTGGGTGAAGCATGCAGGCAGTAGTGCATTTTTAGTAGCAGGATGGCATAGAATGAGCTATATGTACAGTGATGGGTCTTATATATCACAAGAACTTGAGAGCCACATTCGCAAGGTACATGCCATTGTAGGAAATGCAATTACTGAAGGAAGATACATCGCGTTTGGTGTTGGGTCAACCCAACTCCTTAACGCAGCTGTTCGAGCTTTGTCCCCTCGTAATGCCTCATCTCCGGCTAGGGTTGTCGCGTCAATCCCCTTTTACCCGGTTGGTACTACTTGCTGCTTCTTTTTATTCGTTTCTTGAATTTTCTTATATCTATATTACGTTATTTTAAGTTCCTAAGTCATGATAATTTGAAATTGACTACACCAAATCTATGGCCACTCGTAAATCAAGCTAACAAAAATAAGTTTTTATTGACACGAGAATATTTCTGATCATTCATGCTTGAAAAAAAAAAAATAAAATTAGAATAATATTTATAAAACCTCCATTTCTATCTCTTTAGTCCATGAGTGGACTATAGATATAATCTAAAGACTTTTATATTTACTTAATTTCATATGTAGTTACTGAAATTATAGTGAGTTTCAAATTTCAAAAATGTCATCAACTGAAAGATGGTAGAATAACAAATGACATTAAAATAACTCATTTTAAACATGTTATCCTTGCCATTTTCATCACTAAAATTTATAAATATTAATATTAGAATTTTTGTTATTATACAAAATGACCATTAGTATGTTTTATTTTACAATTTAAATTTTAAGCATGTTTGCATGTATTACGTGGAATTAGTTATGAATAGAGTAAAATAGAAATAAATAATTTATACAGTTGATCTCAATTAATTTGAGATTAAGGTCTAGTAATTATTGTTATTATTACCATTTATGTGAGTTAATAATAAATTTAGAAACAATGAGCGAAATCAAGTCGAATAATTTAACTACACTTTATATGCATGATTAAATACAAATTGTCTTCATAGTACATATACATAAATGTCCATAAATTAAGCTTTAGTAATAGAAACATTATTAAAATAAAAATATTAGTTAAGTGATTTTATAAAATCGAAGCGGGATTAGCTCTAAAATCCTATTAGGACCTGGCCTACCACTTGTTTGGCAGTTAAGAAAACAGAGGGAAAAGGGAAGGAAAAATAAGAAAAGCAGGGGAAGAAAGAGATATTAGGGAGACAAGTAGGAAAACAGAAAGGAACTTATTCACAAAAACGGCATATCCTCATACAAAACAGTCTAGCTAATTCCCAAGAAATTAACCCTTACAGGTTTATGAAGAACAGACGAACCTTTTCCAATCAATGGATTTCAAGTTTGAAGGGGATACATCCTCATGGAAAAACAATTCAGATGTTTATACAGATATGATTGAATTTGTAACATCACCAAACAATCCTGATGGGAAGCTGAACCAGGCAGTTCTTGAAGGCGAAAATGTCAAAACAATATATGATCATGCATATTATTGGCCTCATTTCACACCAATTCCTACTCCAGCAGATGGAGATATTATGTTGTTTTCTATGTCTAAGTTCACTGGTCATGCTGGCTCTAGATTTGGGTAAGAACATAAATTTTTCTCATAATCTTTAAATGGATAATTATTATGTAGTCTCTAGGAATTGGCCAAATTAACTAGTAATGATTTTAATTTTCAAAATTATATTATTTAGGTCCCTGTATTATGTAATGGAAAGATCTTATAATTCATAAGGTCCTTCCATTAAAAATTTTCAAAATAAAATGTTTTTTTCTCAATAGCTTGGATACTATTGGACAGGTGGGCAGTGATAAAAGACGAGGCCATCTACCAAAGAATGATTAGGTACTCACAACTAAACACCATAGGAGTTTGTCGGGACAGTCAATTAAGAGCTTTGAAGCTCTTGAAAGTAGTCCTTCAACAACGAAATGATATATATGAATTTGGATATGCAACGATGATGAAACGTTGGGAGAGATTGAGCAGTGTAATTTCAATGTCGGAACGTTTCTCTCTCCAAAAAATAGCACCCAATTACTGCAACTTTTTCCAGAAAGTCAGAGATCCTTCACCAGGTAACCCTTGGTTAAAAAAAATGCAAACATTAACAGTTATGAATATTTTTGATAAATTTCTAGTAATTTGAGTATTTCAAATTCGGTTCGAACTGCACTAAATCAGTGTGTTTCCTTTTGATTCGGTTTTTTAGTAAAAATTAATTATTTTGATTCGGTTCGATTTTGATTAAAAAAGAGAATAATTGAACCAAATTTAATTTTATTGAGTTCGGTTTTTCTTATAGAAACTTTTGATTATTCAAGTTGCATGAAAATTCAAAGCCATCTCGCCCTGATCATATAAAGTTCATTTCAGCATATGCATGGTTGAAGTGTGAGAGAGAGGAAGATAAAGACTGTCATGCAGTGCTTCGAGCAGGCAAAATTGATGGTCGTGAAGGAAATCGATTCTCTGCCGGAGATCGATATGTACGTCTCAGTCTCCTTAGAAGACAAGATGATTTTGATTTATTGATTCAGAAGTTAAACCAATTAGTCTCTAGGAAAGAAGATGGTTCTAAAAGTATGTGAGGAATGTGATCTTCATTGCATTTAGATTATTCATCCATATTTGCTTATTTTGGACCTGCTTTGTTAAGAAAATAGCATTGGTGACATTGTGTTTATTTATAAGGTCATTGTCTTATTGACCTGTATTTGCTTGCATATATGCTTCATTTTAAGACACCATGTGTTAACACTTGACTTAACCCATAAATTTACCCTCGAAGTTTACACGATTTACCTTGTGACACCCTCAAGTTTGCGAGAAGCCTATTATAACCTTAAACTTTCACATCAGTAACACCTATGTCTCTCATCCAAATGAAATATCTTTGTAAGAGTTCAATCATGATCCTGCACTTTTACATTTTATATTGGCGAAGGGTATAATTATTAATAAAATGTAAAAAAATATAATCATAATAAATCCACTGTAAATTTGAGAGTAACACAAGAAAAATCGAATAAACTTCAGGAGCAAATATATGCAGTTCATGATTAACATTTATGACTTTTGTACTTGTAGGGTCATGTCTCGTTAACTTGTCTTTCCTTGCGTATATGCTTCACTTTAAGAGGTTACATTATCCATTGACTATTGACATATAAGGTTGTCTGGTTGACATATGTTTTCTCGTATACATACTTCATTTTAAGAAGTCAGCACACAAATAGTATTAGAATATTAGTGGAATTGTATTTTACAAGGTCATGTCTTATTCACCTGTATTTGCTTGTGTATAATACTTCAATTGAAGAGGTGATGTAACTATTAACTTGCTCTCTGCTCTATGCGCAAATAGCATTATTAGCATTACAGTCATGCCTTATTGATCTATGCTTACTCGTGTACATGTTTCAATTTAAGAGGTCATGTATTAATTGACCTGCCCTTCCTACAAATAAGAAAGACTTATCTATACCACCCATGCATCAAACCAATTACAAACAGCATTTTTATTCAAATGAAAATATTTCTAACCACAGAAAAAAAAATACAAAACAATAACATTTTATTAAAAAAAAACCTTATAGAGACGGCCCTATAGCTTTGAAAGTGAGCTCACCGCACAAGTTGGAAAAACATACATGTAACTTTGGATTAGTGAAAAAATTTAAAAAGCACTTTATTTATGCAAAAAAATTTTATATTCAATTGACCACACTGAACAAACCATATTAAATAAATGATCTTACAGAAAAATATTTCTAGTACTACCACTTTTATGTATATTTTCCATTTGAAGAAATCATGTACAATTGACTAGCTATATACTTTCTATTGGTGGAGATCTGCAAAATTTTATATGGATGAAGCAGATTGAACAAATGCAAGCAATATGAACCTTTCTGTTCTATTACAAAGGGATATTTAACCACCAACATGATTCCAGTTTTAATTGATTTCACAAGGACAAAAACGAAAAAGCACATTAGTGTATATTTAGCTATCTCACAACCTGAATCTTTTTTCATAGAATCACATCAGCTGCAAAAATTAGCCAATGTTGACTGCAGTTTCGCTGGCATGTCCAGCATGATAATATTTTTGCCAAAGCAAATTAGCAGTATCCTTACAACAGATGAATAAATGACAAAAAGATGGATCCTTTTAATAGGAAATATACAACAATTAGGTTTGTATACTTTAAAGTGAGTGGCTCATACCTGATTTAACCTTTTAGGTAACTGTCTGTGGTTTAAAAAGTTGATTTTCATTCTCCTCATTAACAGCAAGCAGAGGAAGACTAAGATGATAGTCAAAATAGTATAGAATTCCAAATGAAAACCCCAAAAGGTTCCAAGCCCCCCTTTGCCATCACAGCTGCATTCATATATACTCAATAGATTCTCCTTGGTTGCGACTTCTGGATCGAGAATGAAGTCCAGAGTCATGGCTGCCTCCCCTAACGATATGCATGTGGACTTTGACTTGTACCCAGGCATAGAGGCCACAACTAGGACATTTTTCAGATGGATATCAGGATTAATCCAGAAACAGAAAGCACAATTCGTGAATAATAAGCTTGGAGACTATCAGCTATGGCATATATTTCAATGATTTAATATTTTTACCCATATATTTTAATATTTTCATATGACGTACTCATTTTATCAGAAATATACTAGAGTTATCATTCTATTTGAAAACTTCAAAAATCCTTTTAAGCGGTTTTCAATATATTCCTTGTTTTTCAGGATCAACTGAAATTTAACTACGAAAAGAAACTTCATAGTGATGATTAGTGCACAATATCAGATACCTTCATAACTGTTTGAGGGGGTAAGCAAGCGATGGTAATCAGCCAAGCCTCTGCCAGCTTTAACCTGTCAATTGCAATTGAAAAGATCCAAAGAAATGTGTTAGGATTAAAGCATTACATCGAAGCACAACTTTCCCTATGTGACAGGAACATTTCCTGCTGGACTGGCTTGCGGGTTTCAAAATAATGTACAGCATTCATAGTACACTCACTACATAACAATGGTATGTATGCATCAAGATATAAGAATATGGCTTCAAAAAATTCTATTATATAGAGAGAATAATGAAGAGTTCATGCATATCCAACTAACTCTAAGAGGATGCCCCAAATCCTGGTAAGTTTATGTCTCAACTAATTCAGTCAATTGCAGCATGGATTTATTGGAACAACATATTGTGACATCAAAGCTACAATATTATACTGCTTAAGCAATGGATCTAATCAGATGACTACATTAATAGCACAAGAAATCACATATAATGATATACCAAAATGGGCTGGGACTACCAGCCTGTGATCTATAAATAGATGATTGCAATAAAACTAGACTAGCCTACAGAGAATCTATTATTTTTGGTAGAGACATTCATTTAGCAGGCCAGCCCAGCCAAACATTTTGCCTAGACGCAAACTTAAGGAAAAGTTCAGAACCATTTCTCTGACCAAAAATATATATTTTACCAGTCGGCCAAACCAGGAATTAAAAATCCTGCCCAGCCTAAATTAGCGTTGGGCATTTGTCAAACCTTTGATCAAGCCCTGCATTTTTCTAGTTGAATTAGTTCGATATTTGTTAGAAAGCATACACCATGAATTTGAAATTAGTATTTATGCCTCCTTCTCTAGCAGTTAAAGATGCATATCCCAACTTCACAGAGAAAGAGAGATAGAAATGTTAAGGTTACGATCACAACACGAGACTTCTTGTATTGTGAAAATCCTCAACTATATTCATGATCCTAATGTTTTACAGTAGAAATTCTAGTGAACACTCACTTATATGCATGGATCATGCAGCATGATCATAGCCCATGTTTAGTGGGCTGAATAAGAATAGGAATGGAATTTTTATTCCCAATTCCCTTGATCAGTAGCAATTAAATTGTGGAGTTGGTAATGAGTTTTGGAACAAATTATCTAATAGGATTCTTGGCCTCCCCCTCTGAATTCCAATTACCGGGCTTAATTTTTTTACAAAATATCATTTTTCCCCTTATGGTATATACCATTTCAGATCCATTCCCTTCTCCTTTTCCATCCTTCTTCATGTATATTGCCATTTTATTTGTCTTTGGTTCTCACTTTTTGGCTCAAAAAAAATCTACTTTTCAATATAAACATCACATCAAAACTCCAATAATTGTACAAAGGTTGCATTTGCACCATATCAAGCGAGGATCATTTCATAAAAATTTCAGCTCCGTTTCCTTCTGATATTTGATTATCTATAGTAGTTTTATTTAATATTTGGTGGAAAATCATAAAATGTGTTATTTTTTTCTAAAGCATGAATTGAGGATCACAATAATTCAATTGCTCTTTTGATTTTGCCAAAAAATTTTCACTCACATGAATATGTTATTTGTTTGAAAATTTGTTAGGATTAAAAATGATAGATTAAGAAATAAATTTCCTTCTCATTATTTGCAAATATTGAAGATAATCATATGATTAATACAAAGAATAAGCCTTCTTTAATAAAATAATTAATTAATTGAATAAATTAATTCATAATATGTTCATTGATATAGGTATTTTGGTCTTTTAGCCAAGGCTCCATTCTAGTCCTTCCATTATTTTGTATCAACTAAACATATGAATTGAATTTGAATTCCTACTCCACGGTGCACAGCTGCATATTAAACACAAGAGCAGGTATTCTATTCCCTGTTCCATTCCTTATTCCGTTTTCTATTTCATTCCTTGTTCCACACCAAAGATAACCCTAATGTTTTAGTTAGAAATTCTAGCGAATACTCAAAAAGGGCACTAAGCTTTAGTTTCAATTTAGTTAGGGTCATATAAATGAATCTTTTTTCTCCACTCCAATCAGTTGAGCCCATAGTTATTAAAGGTGCACCTCTCAGGCGCGCCTTACTTAGGGCACAAAGGCTGGAGCCTTAAACATTGACAGGTGGGTGACATTCATGAGGTGAGAGCCTTTTTGCTTAGGCATGCGCCTTTGTTCAGGCAAAAGGCACAGAAAAGGCGCGCCTTTTAAGTTTTCTTCCCTGCACAATCAGCTAGTGTTTTCCATTTATGATTATATGATTTAGCCGCTTCCACTCTTTAACAATAACAATAACAATAACAATAATAGAGGAAGAAGAAAAGAAGAAAAATCAACAGCTTCTCTCTTTCAACTATCAAAACCCAGGCATGTACCTCTCCTTTGCAACCTCTCTTGCGTCTACTTCCTTCTCTAATTCAATATCTTAAAATATAAGAGGTTATGCTGCCATTTTTTTCTGATTTTGTTAGGATTTCAGTCATAGAAACCCTATTGAGTGTTTTTGGATACTGAGAAAAGGGTAGAAAATTAGATAAAAGAAATAGTAGAGAAGGAAGAGAATTATCAAAGATAGAGAAAATCAAGAAGAAAGAGAAGAGGCTAGATAACTTTTTATTTACTTTTCAATAATATTTGTACATCCTATACTCCACGTTTTATAGCTCTATTGCATGTTTTACTTTTACACATAATGTGCCGTACGTGCTAATGTAGTTACAACCATATTTAAAACAGATTCAAGAATCACAATTAAATCCTAGACATACTATTTTTACGATCAAATCCAAATTTAAATGTATTATATTATTATATCATTATATGTTTTATATTATTAATGAGAATCTTTCTCCAATTGTTTGAAGTTATTATATTTTTTATTTTTGCACCCCACCTCACTCAACCGAGCGCCTAGGCCTAGAGGCTTTGCGCCTCAGTGCACCTTGCGCCTTTAATTATTATAGTTGAGCCAACTATTGTTGCTAAATCTTCTAAGAAACTTTGGGACAACAATAACAACTAAACTTTAATCTCAAACTGATCAGTTATGTCAAGCCTTTGTTTCCATTTCTACTCTGTTGAATAATAGCAAAATATAATCATAGCATAAAATTAGTAACAAAGGATTCTGAAATAAAAAATAATAATTTTAGTACAATTTTTGAAAATTTTTAAAACCATTTGCTTTGTTAAAACAAGCACATGGTGATGGAAAACGGCAAGCACATGTTGATCATTAAGATCTACAAGTTCCCAAGTGAAGATATGGGTTTGAAGGAAGCCCCATGGCTAGTCAACATGATCCAAACATGTGGATGATACATAGTTTTGTGTTGTATTTAATTTTTAGGGTTTCTTAACTTATAAATACTTAGTTTCTAGTATTATAAGGCATGGAGATAACAATTTATGCGTTTTATGTAATTGAATTCAAGATAGGTGAATTCTCTTTGGTTCTTCTTTAAACTTCCTTTCGAACTTATGATAGTAATTAAACTTTGTGGCATTTAATCTTACACCTTGATATCTTTGGTTCATAGTTGTGGTTAAGTATTGGGTTAGAAAACGTTATTCCATCTAAGAAATTCCAAATATGGGATTTAGGGTTCCTAATTTGAGACTTAGGGTCTATGTATCAAATCTGAGTTTGGAGTGTCAAGACACAATTCTTAAGTTTCGACATCAGGTATCAGAGCATTCACTAAAATCAGGTTTATCTATGTTCATTTTGCTTTCATTTGTTTCCGTTTCCTTCTATTTGTTGTTGTGTGCGTTCCCTGGCTTCCATTTGTTTCCGTTTGTTTTTGTTTGCTTCAGTTTGATTCTGTTTTCTTATGTTTCTTTTCATTTTGTGTTTGCACAAATAGTTTTCATGTTAAATCATATTGTTCTTGTTCTTTTGTTGAAGTAGAAAATTGTTGCTGCTACATTTCTTGTTTTTGCTTGATTCTGTTTCTTTCAATTCTTGTTCGTTTATTATCATGTCTAACAAAGGTAGTGATGTAACAAAGGTAGTGATGTAGAGAACCAAAATGATTTTTCATTCAAGCTATACAACAATTCACTTAACCGAAATGGCAAAACCGATCAAATTGACCAGACCAACTGGTTCGGTTCAATTCAGTTCAGAAGGGAAATTTGGTTCGGTTTGATCTGTTGACAAAAACTTCGGTTTGATCTGTTTACTCACCTTTATAATCTGGGACTTAGATTTATGTATCAAATCTGATTCTGGGGCATCAACACAATTCTGGGGTTCCACATCACTGAACTTGTTAGGGTCAGATATATGAATCTTTTGTCTCCATTAAACTTTATGCATTCAATCTTTTATACATCTAGTTAAATATTGGGTCAGGATTTGTTATTTCATCCAAAAAGAAATTCCTAATTTGGAATTTGGGGTTCCTAATCTGGGACATATAATTTGTGTATCAAATCTGATTTTGGGGTGCCAACACAGTTCTAGGGGTTCCACATCACTGAACTTGTTAGGTCGGATATATGGATCTTTTGTCTCCATTCAGTTCTATTCATAGCTAGATCTTCCACGACATGTTTCCTTCATGTGAGTCTAGGTCTACCTCTTTCCTGTTTAGTATCTACACTCGTAAAGTATCACACTTACAAGGGCACATAGGGGTCTTTGGAACAAATGAAAAAAAAAAAAATAATAAGAATCCATACATGGTTATGAACATACCGTGTAATTTATTCCCTTGATTGTGATAGAGCCTGGTAGTGGCCTCCCTCTATCAGATGAAAATATCCTTCCATGTACTCCTGTCTTTTAAGAATCAAATAGTATAGATAAATGATCTTGCGACTACATAAAAATAAATATCGTGAATACATGCCATATATTAGAAAGTCATTACTATCAACCTTCGTGTGCCCCATAAATTATCTATTACAAAAACCAAAAACAAGAGTAGCATGATTACAAGGATAGAGTTTCCTCCCAAGATGTGCATGTCTCGATATACGGAACCAATGTAGAATGTTCATTAGTACGAGGGTTCTAAATCATGCTAAATGATCTTCTGAAGGAACCCCTCTAGAAGCCTCAAAAGTAAAAATATGAAGACAAAAATAAATCAAATAATATCACTTACCTTCACAAGGCTAGCTACGAGGTTCAATAAACTCATTTTGTTGTACTCCCAAAGTATAGGAAGCTGCACAAAAAAGCAGTGAGAAATCAATTGACTAGCCATTTAGAAGATAGAACGGAACAAAGTGGGGAAGAAGAGTCGTGGGAGAATGCAATAATAATTTAGAGGAAAAAAAATGCAGCTTAGCCAGAAATCAAACCTCATCTGCATTAGGCCATTTGTCATCACTAATCTCCAAGGTCAATTCAAAGCAGCCAGCGTGTATATAGTTCCAGTCTTGCATTCCACCATAAATCGGATACCTACAGTTAGCTTTGCTTTAGATAAAAGCTAAGTGAAAAATAGAGGAAATATTAAAAAAAAATATCATTAAACGAGTATAAATATTGCAGCATTAAACAAGCTTCACAATAATACACTTATCAAATCATAATGTGAATAATAAATAATTCCCAAATGCCATACCAATTTGCTCCATTTGTAATTCCTCCAGGAAATTCTGTGCTTAGAGACATGTTATGGTGGAAATGGCTATATATTTTTGCCATGAACCGAAATGTATCATCATCAGGACATGCATAGTAAGTTTTCCTGAAAATTATTTCACAACGTCAGAGAAGCTAAGTGCATAAAAGAAAGAAAGCAAAAGAATAAATAAATAAGAAACGAAAAGAAAGCCATCAGCAAGACAAATAAAAATTATTCTAAGATAATTCAGAAAATAATTTAAAAGCATCCAAGAAAAGACATTAATAAATTATCTGATATTATTGCAGCTAAACCTTAGAAGTGATAACATCAGGAAGCCACAAGTTCTTTTAATGTATGAAGAACATCAGGGAGCCAATAACATAGTAGAAATCATGCAAAGACCAACTTTTAAACCACATTAAGTATAACTAAGCCTGAAACACAGCCACAAGAATACCATCAAAAGGAAAGAATTGCTTGAAAGGCAATCATGGTAATGACATAATGTTATAAATTGTTGGAAAGTGAGTTTTTATTTCTCATAGAACTTCCAGATTTTTGTGGTTAATTCTAGAATTATATTAATTTATCTTTTGCTTATGTAATCTAGATTATATCAGCAAAGCTTACTTTATTTTGAATATCTGTAATTGTTGTTCTAGAATATGTATTAATTGCCATAGGTGCTGATGTAATCAAATATATATATGTGATATGTATGAAACATGACATTGTAATAGAACTTCATTTCTAAACTAAGAACACTCTGTTTTTCTCTTAGCTGTTCATCTTCTTTTTCTTCTCTACTGCCATCAAGTGGCATTAGAGCTTTTGTTGTTCTAAAGGGGCTGTGAATAAAATCTCTTTACTTGTTGAGTAATTTGTGAAGAATTCTCTCCTTATTTTCTGTCTACAAAATGTCTTCTTCATCATTGTCTAATCCTCCTATATTTACGAGAGAAAATTATGATATTTGCTCCATCAAAATGAAAGCTTTTCTCAAGGCACACAATCTTTGGGAAATTGTTGAAACTGATAGATAACTTACTCCCTGTAAGAGCTAATCCAACTTTAGCTCAAATTAAATACCATGAAGATGAGGCTAAGCGATATACTTAGAATGCCAATTACATTAGCAGCTCAAAAGAAATGGTTTATCTATCATTTGCATATAACTTTTGCCTTTCTAAATGGTACATTGCAAGAAGAAATATATGTCACTCAACCTAAAGCTTCAAAATTCCTGGATGTGCAGATAAAATATATAAGCTGCACAAAGCTCTCCACAGCTTAATACAGGCTCCAAGAACTTGGTACAGCAAATTGATTCTTATCTCTTAAGTCAAGAATTCAGGAGAAGTCCTAGTTAACGTATTGTTGGTTACTCTCTATGCAGAAGAATTGTTGGTAACTGGAAACGATGAGTTGATAAAAGACTTCAACTTGAAGATGGAAAAAGAATTTGAGATGCCAGAATTGGGGAAGATGAATTATTTTTCGGGAATGGAGGTGGAGCAATCAGAGAAAGGCATCTTTATTTCACAAAGAAAGTATGACATGGATATCTTGAAGAAATCAATATGCAAGTCTGTAAGTCTAACCACTCCACTAGTTATAAATGAAAAATTATCCAAAAATGATGGTAAGAGCTAACTGATGCATCACCTTATGGAAGTCTAGTTGGCAGTATTCATTATTTAACTCCAACTAGACTTGATTTAATGTTTACTGTAAATTTGCTTTCTAGATTCATGCAAGCTCCATCTCAAGTGCATTTTAGCTGCAAAACAAGTTTCAAGTTACTTGAAAGGTACCATCAATTTCGATGTATGGTATTCCAGCAATGAAGAAGGCAAATTATAAGGATATGTTGCTAGTGATTGGACTGGTTGTGTGGATGCTATGAAAAAGCACTGCTGGTTATGTATTTCTTTTTGTTCAGGAACCTTCTATTGGAATTTAAGAAAACAAGAAGTGGTTGCTCAGTCAACAGTTGAAGCTGAGTATATCTCTTATGCAATTGCTCCAAATCAAACAATTTGGCTTAGAAAATTATTGAATGACTTGGGACAAAAATTAAATGATCCTACTATATTTATTGTGATAATAAGTCGGCCACAAGTATTGCTCAAAATCATGTTCAACATAACAGGACTAAACACATTAATGTGAAGTCTCATGCTATAAGAGAGGCTAAAAGAATGGAGAAGTGAAGCTGCTGAATTGCAAGTCAGAAGAGCAAGTAGCTGATATTCTAACAAAGGCCCTTCCTACTACAAGATTCGAGTTTTTGAGAGCTAAGCTTGGAGTTCTTGAGAAAAATCTCAAGGAGGAGATTGTTGGAAAGTGAGATTTTTTCTCATAGAACTTCCAGGTTTTTGTGGTTAATTCTAGAAACATATTAATTTATCTTTTACTAATGTAATCTAGGTTATATTAGCAAATCTTACTTTATTTTGAATATGTAGCTGTAATTGTTGTTCTAGAATATGTATTAGTTGCCTTAAGTGCTGATGTAACCAAATATATATATATATATGATATGCATGAAACTTGAAATTGTAGTAGAACTTCAGTTCTAAATTAAGAACACTCTGTTTTTCTCTTTGTTGTTCATCATCTTCTTCTTCTCTACTGCCGTCATAAATACAGAATGTGGACTAACATGTCGTGCAATAGACGACTGTTCAATGTCCAAGTGAAAAGAAATCTAGAGCAAATATGAAAGTAAGTTGAAGGGAAATTGACCAAGTTCCTAGTGATGGAAGTCTAATAATATTACCCAAAGAGAGAGTATAACTATCACTACATAAAAGTATAAGAAATAGCAAAAGGACCCAGAGAAATATCCTTCTTTTTCCTTTGTGATGAAATTTCTTTTCAATGGATTTGAAGACATCATGAATGCAGACATTTACCGCTTATCCTCTGTGCCATCCCAAGGATAATTTGCAACAAGCGCACCCTGTGGACAGAAATATGCATGATTAAGAAGTATCCATTATGAAAGATGAAATCTACATCCCTACATTTACGAACTGGCTATTAGAACATATAAAGCCCAGCGAACCAATCAAAAGCATATCTTCTGAAGCAGTTGATATAAGCTTAGTGCATCACACCAGAAAGGCAGAAACATATATATGAGCAACCAGATGAAAGTCGTAAAACACAAATTTTTTTTTTTTTATTTTAGTCAAGCAAAATGGAATTTGATCATGTTATATTCAACATTTTGATGGCCCGCTCGAGGGATACCTTGCTCAGAAATTAAAAGATTTCTTGTTATTTCACATAAAAGACTCCCTTCTTCTATTCTAGGACATCATTAATTTATTCTTTTTTAATAAAAGAAGAATTTCAATTTCCTGATAGAGAAGTAGAAGAAGTTGATCTAAATAGAAAGACAAGATATGCTCCTGTAAAAAATTTTAGGAAGAAGGAAAAAGAAAAAAAAAAGGTCCACACAACAGAGAGCTCTCCAATCTAGTTGGATGTAAGTCATTTGAATACCTCATTTTCAAAACCCATAACAAACAGGGGAAAAATTCCATGAAAATTGCATAGACAAAACTAGATCCCTAAAGTTGGTACCCCTTTCTCAGCCAAATGCACCAATAACAATAATATAATACAATACAGCCCTATAACATAAAAAAAAGCCCATCCTATCAACCCCTATAAGTTCCAAATTTTGAGAAATGTTCCAATTCGAGGAAACCCCACTTTGGAAACAAAATAAAAGGTTCATTCTAAATTGTCTAAAAAACAAAGCCATTCCAAAAAGAAAAAGATAATGAGAAGCTGAGCATGTCAAGAGTACACACCTTTGGAAACAAAAAGACATGAGTATCTATTAAATGACTTTTAACACTGAATTAATAGGAGCTAAGAAATTAACATGTGACGAAAAGAAAACCGATCATTTGATATCAGATGACTACTGCATGTGTATGATTTTTATGTGGATAGCATGAGAGAAGGAGATGAAATTTTACCCCATGTAAACTAGCGGATGCCGTAAAATGTATCTCTCTCAACCAATTCATTATTGCTCTTGTTTCAGGTTGACGTGAATTTATGTCTTCATTCATAGGAAAGAACTGGCAATTTTTTGTTGGTCAATAGCGATTTATCATCAGACTTCAAGAAAGGAAAAATAGCACATCAATCAAGCCTAGAAATGAAATCTTTCCACAAATTTATTAAGTGGATCAAGCAAAGAAATTCCTGGAACATTCCATTGCATGAAAAGTAGATTTATAATCTCAGTCTTCACTAGACAACTTAAATCCAAGCTCTATATACTTTGAATATATAAGAAAATTTCTAAGAGGTTTTAAGTCATATCTATGGATCTTTATACCAATTATACTTTTCAATCTTTGCCTAAAGACAAAATGTTACACCCCTAACACTTCTATATCCTATTAAAATTATAAATTTTAGTCAATTTCACACAAATTTTTCAAGTACAACAAAAATACAAGCAAAGAACTTTCATTCAAATATAATAAAATGGCTCGTGCTTCACTACTGACATAATTATAAACCCCAAACTCAGAATTCTTCTGGCATGATTCAAGAACTACAATATGATGTAATTATATTTTGTAACTTGTATAAAGAATAACATAATGAAAGCTCTAATGGATCCTAAATGTTGAATTTGATTCCTCATCATAAAATAGTCCATTTACTTGAGATTTAAGGTTCAATTCGGATTCATTGACAAGTAAAAAAATTTAAAGAACTAACAAAACAAAGAGATACCTGGTCTGGAAAATCTCGATTTAGATCAATATTATTTGCATTACCACGCCGTCTCAATAAAAATCCATCAGGATTCATTGTTGGAAGAATATGAAGGTGAACATTTTCCACTATCAATCTGGCCTGTAAAATTACAAATGAAGATTTCAAGCATTGCCCTCATTGTAGTTTAAAAATTCAGATTTAGAAATTACTAATTCGTGGTTAGATAAAGGCCAAACATGAAAAATCTGCATCAAATGGTTTTATGCATTAGAAGAATTGGGTAAAAATATGATGTTGCAAATAAGATTTTTGAGAAACAAGGATATCAAACTAAAAGAGGAAAAAAAAATCTTCATCTTCTGTAGCAGAAAAAGGGGATACGCAACAAAAATTTGAGTAATGTAAACACCAATTGACAGATAAATGGAGAAATATATGTTGCAATTCATAACCAAGCTCTTGTAATGGTAACAAAGTTGGATTCATTTGGCACAAGATAAACGAATTATTCAAGAAGAAAAAAAAAATCTGCCACAGAGACATAAGTTTAAAAGGGAATGGAAAATGCATGAAGCAATTATAATAGTTCTAGTCCAACGATAAAATTTCAAGTATCCAGAAAAAGCATTATTTGGTAATCAAATATCAAAAATTGAGAAAAATATGACCAAAAGTGACTATCAAAAAACCAAACTGATGCTAATTAGAGATGTAAAACAAATAAATGTGGTGAAGGCACGTGAGTAATTGACAGCATGACAAAATAAATGTCTTCATGTCAAATGAGACGAATAGGAAAATACCAAGGGATCCTTCGGATAGTTATCACATATCCAATTAGCAAGAAGTACTAGAAGCTCACGACCTACAGGTTCATCTCCATGAACATTCCCAATAAACTGCAAAATAAAATGATCAGACAACCAATAGCACATGATGAATATTATTTTTTAAAAAAATGCACCTACAACAAATGGACTCCAAAGGGGACGCACTTCCAAACAATTGAAGATTTAGCTTTCATATCAAAAAAAAATAAAAATTCTAACCTGATTACAAATGAGTCATAAACAATTAAAAAAGGGGAAAAAAAGAGATAATAACATGCATGTCCTTGAATTTTAACAATTTCTAACTGAAGTATTCAACATCTATTTCTCATAATTAAGCATTTGGAAGTTTTAAGAAACATTAATTAAGTCATAATTGGAGTGAGTTGCTTGACACGGTTCAATTAGGCCTTAATTGGAAGGAAAAAAAAAAAAAAAAAAAGACTTTGAGGAATCAATTTAAACAATCATTCCTAGTTCAAGGATAGCCTATCCAGTTGTCCCAAAAAAAATATTCATTTTTTCACTGGTATAATTCAATGCCTCGGTGGTGATTGAACAATGTTACAGGAGTCCAAATCTAGAATGCAAAGCCTTGAATATCTTTAGCAATTTATAATTTTCAGCAAAACCTCAAGGAAATAAATTCTTCCTCATTTCTTTTCCTTGCCAAAATATTGAATCACAAACTATTTAGTCAATCTGCCTACAAACCAATCTAAAAAGGGGAAGATTATAAGAAATTTCCAACAAAAAGCTTGGACCTTTATTTCAAAATGCAATATGTTTGAATTTCAAGTAAACGGTCCAATGTTCAACAATTAAATAACAAAACTTGGAGAGGAAAAAATTGCCCTCTTTTATTTAAGTATACATATATTATATCGTTCACCTTGAATGCAGGTTCAGGCTCCTCCTCATAAGGCCTGTCAGATATCTCTATAACCCACTATAAGGGAAAAAATAAAAACAAATAATTAGAAACACGAAACTTAAAAATGCATAAAATTCTGAGTAAAAAGAAAACATGAAATTTGAGAAAGAGAAAGCGAAGAACTAACTTCAGTGAAACCATTACCAGAGGAACTCCATTCACACTCCTTCCAATACTGATTACACATTCGAAGAATCCCTCAAAGAGAGAAACAAAGAATACAAATCAGCATAATCACCTTAAAACCAAAAATAAAACAACAACCTTGAATGTACAACTAAGGTTTATTAGTAATCACCTATATATCCTAGAAATATTGCTGCATCTTTTCCCAATTTTCTTCATAGCTCTTTCAAGATCAGTGTTAGTCAAGTATCCACGAGTCTTTTCAACACTATACAAAATTTTCCATATCAATCACACTCTTCACAATAAATCTTAAGTAATCAAAACACAAAAATCAACAAAGAAACCAAAGGTGAACCTTATCTTAGATTCGTTATCCTCAGACAGAAACCGCCTTCCAGAACCAGCATAGCTACTGCCATTATTAATACCTAGCAGAACCAACAAGTTATCGAGATCATTCAATAGTTTCTAATCAAAGAAGCTAAGAAAGTAAAATTCGTATAATCCAATTACCACTAAACTGAAAAAAAAAGAATTAATGCATTGATGTCTGGAGAAATTACCTGAAGAGAGAGAGCCACGCTCTCCGCCTCTAGCGGCGGAGGAGGGAAGGAAAGAGAAGAAAGTGAGAGAGAAAACTAGCAGAGGAAAGAAATTTCTCATTTGCGATTTGAAAAATGAAATTTTGAACTTTTTTGTTTTTAATTTGAGGTTTTGTTCTTATTTCAGGTGGCCATCTGGATGTTTGATCAGAGTGTTTCGATCGATCTCTTCATTTCTTTTTGTACGTTTTGAACGTTGAAACAGGAAGGCAAGGAGGAGGGAGGTCGCACGTGGGAAGAGCACGTGATAGAGAGATGACGTTACTAAAGTAAACAACCTTCAATTTGTCCCACTAACTGGCAAAAAGTAAATTGTGTTTATTTTTATCGTTTGAAATTTATCTATCTATACTGTATATTAGGGGGTGTGAACGGAAGTGCAGAAATCCCGACCCGTTCTTGAAAGTCCGTCCTGAATTTTTCATCTCGAAAAAAAAATCTGATATTAATTTCATAGTTTCGTCTTGAATTCCATCCCAAAAGTATTTATGAGATTAGACTAGTTCTTTAATTAAAATCAACATGTATTAATCTAAGTTTTGTCTCATCCCGTCCCAGCCTGAAAATCGAAAATTTTCATCTCATTTTTTCTTTAAAATTCTGGTTGTCCTTTTTTATGAATTTCAAATTATGTCCCCAAAAATCATTTCATCTTTTTTACTTTAGTTTTTTTTATGCTACCAATTATTACTAAAGTAATAATAATACGAAAAATAATATGCATTTTTTTAAGATATAAAATAAATCCAGTAACAAACATAATTTTCAATATAGATTTTTCCTCTGTTATTTCACAATATATGTTCAGTAAATTTCTTTTAATAAATTTTTTTCTATTAAATAAAAAATAAAAAGATTAATCGATACAAGAGAAAATAGTAACTTCAATTAATTTGATTGTTGGATTATTGGTTATACTTAATGCTATCATTATTTATTTTTCAAATGATATTTAAGATTAAATCACATAGTAGCGAATTTAAATCAGCTTAAAGACAATAGTGACAAAAACAATGACGAATTAAAATTCATAAATTACATATAAAGTTAAATTGTTTATAATTTTTGTATTATTTTATTTTATTATATTTAACACTTTTATTAAGTAGAAAATAACTACTTAAAAATCTTTTATTATAACTTTAGTAGTAGATCATCAATAATTGAAATAATCATGTAATTTATTTATTTTTTTAAACTCAAACTTATATAATTAGTAGTATGATCATCAATAATTGAAATAATCATGTAATTTATTTATTTTTTTTAAACTCAAACTTATATAAATGAATTTGTGTTTTGATTGTAATTGCTGAATATAGCTACATTTTTTATCCTTTTTTTTGATGGAAAATAATTTAGTAAAACTATGAAAAATTCGCGATTGTTCTTCGATCTAATTCCATCTTGTCGCATAGACTCGAAATTCTCATCTCGTTCCATCCCAAACAATGGGGATGGGACTGGCACGAGAATACATATCTATTGGGCATGAAATTGAGCTTCATTTTGGTACGTCTCCGATATTTTGGGATAGGAACTAGACTTTTTGAATTTCATCCCAATCCGCCCTGCCACCCGCTACTATAACTTATGACAATTGTGAGTTAATACAGAGAAATAATTGGATGTCCGATATAGCGCCCTGTAAAATTTTTTAGAATATCTAGCAAAATAATCTTAGTCATAGCAATTATGAAAAATTACATTTTTTAAATTTTAAGTTTTTTTTTTTTGGGAAATTGGATAAATTTATAAAAGGATTATTTTTTTAGTCAATCATATTGTTGATACCGATTATTTCCTTCCCTTTAATGCAGCAGTAAGAGGTCCTCGATGTTGCTAATGCCTCTCGCCCTACAACGTGATTTTCCTAATCTTGGTGAGTGGACGGGTTCACTTATCCCCTTGTTGTGTAGCCCGCAATATTATTTTGGTCAATCAGGCCTTTTAATCGAATAAAAAAAAAAATGTCTTTTTTAAAAAAAATACATAGAAATAATTAAATATTTCAAATTTTAGTTTTTATCCTTTTATAAATTATTGTTTTAATAAACCTATATCGATGATACTGAGAGTATTTTGACAAATTATTTTTATATTTATTATGGTTATTAAAGATATTTATTCTTTTAGGATATATTGAATAAAAAAGGAAAGAAAGATATATTAATTTTTATTAATATTCCTTTTTTATTCATATGATTTTGACTTGGATTATTTTTAAAAAAAATAAATTTATCAAAATAGAATCATATTAATATTTCTTATTTAAAAGAGAGCAAAAAATGTTAAATGAGAAAAAAAAAAAAGAAAAAAAAAAAAGTATAGTGTACTTTTTATTAATATTTTTATTTCTTATAATTTTTTATTAATATTTTTTCTTTATATTTGTAAGATTTGATTGAATATATTTTTTAAAAAGTAAATTTTGAAATTAAATTTAAATAATTAAATTGATAAACAGTTTAAAATTTTAATTTAAAAAATATATATAACATTTTATTGATATGTTTATAGACTTGTATACATTGAAACGTTTTTTTCATTAGGTGGGTTTCGAGAGTTTTATTTTTAATAATAATTTTTTATTTTCTTTTTCATTACTCAGTAATTTATAACTACTATCATTTTAATTTAGTAAGAGATTTATATATCCCTTGCAATAAATAGATGGCCTATTCATGATTAAGCATTTTTATTCTTGATATTTTTTTTTCTTCTATCCTAAATATATTTGACTTAAAAGAATAATATTTAGGAAATTGAAAAAAAACTAGAACTGTATATTTCTAGTTCTTTTTATTATGTACGATGCACGCTTACTATACTGGATATATGCTCATTTTTTATACTCGTTTAGCTTTTTTATTTATATAATTGCAATAAATATAGTGATTTTTATATATATACAGTAAAATATTTTTTTTAATTATATGTGTGCATTATAATAGCTCATTGAAAAAAAAAATTGATATATTTGTTTCTCTCTTCAAAATAGCAATTTAAATATTAAATATGTTATTTATACTCTCTTCAATATATTGGTTCGTATAGTTTTTATTATACGTTAGTTACTTTTATTTTTTGTTAAAGTACCAAATTAATTTATAAAAATCACATATAGCTTTTATTTTATGTTTTATAATTGACTTACATATTTTGTTAGTAACTTTGACTATAATCTCTTTTAATAAATAAATATACTTTAAGAATAGAATAAGAAATTATTCTAATAAATCAAATTAAATATTTATAAATAATAATTTTCGTTTTTATTTTATTTTTATTTTTATTTTTTTTAGCCAATCAAAATAATGAAATCATTTAAAAAAATATTAATAAAATTATATTCCTTAATAAAAGAATATGATTTGAATTATACTTAATTAAAAATAATATTTTTTATCTTATTTTTTAGCCAACTAAATCAGAGTGAAATTTTTAATTAAATAAATTTAACCATAACCTTTTTAAAGTCAAAATCTTAATTATATAGATATATTTAATTAATAAATTTAAAGAAATAAAAATTTTTAAATACCTCGTATCTACACATATTCATTTAAAATAATAATGTTGAATACAAATTACAATAATAGTGAATAAAAATAAAAATAATAAATAATAACAAATTACAATAATGTGAATAAAATAAAAATAATAAATAATAATAATATAAATTATTAAAACTATGTAAATTATTGAATTTAATAATTTATATATCATAATGATAATAATTTATATAATAATATAATGAAATAGAACATAATTAGACATGAAATAATATTAGTAAAATTTTAAATTTTCAAATGCTTAATTATCTATAAGTATTTATCTATTAAAAAAGTTAAAAAAATATCCAATCAAATTATATATATATATGTTCAAAATTTGTAATTGGCTATAGCTAAGGTTATTTTAGAGTATCTTAAATTTTACAAGGATAATATAGGAAATCTCATTATTCTCAAGAGATTTATATCTCCCTTGCAATAAATAGATGACCTATTGATGATTAAGCCTTTGTAATTTTCTTGCTATTTTTCTCTTCTAGCCTAAATATGTTTGACTTATAAGAAAATAATGTTTAAGAAATTGGAAAAGAACTAGAACTATAGATTTCAATTCGGGTCACTTTTTGGGGTTTCAAAAATTTGTGTATATGTGCATATATTTCTTTCTCTGATACAGTGGATAAGTAATACTATGACTGTAGCAAAAGTGATTTCCGTTATTAATTCATATCATCTTCTCATTTCTTTTCTTTTACCTAGCAGTAAAAAATAAGTTATTATTTTTCATTACAATTGAATATAGATATTGATTTGGGGTTGAGGGTAGGGGGTTGACGATTGATTGTGGGTTCTGTATATGTATGGCACAGCCCAAGAGGGGGATGAATTGAGTTTTCTTAAAAATAAAAATAAAAATAAAATTTTAACTTTTAAAATAAAGCTCAGAATTCTAAGTGCAGCGGAAAAATAATGAACTTGTGAAAATAGGTTATTGATTAGAATTACCTCACAATGTTCTATTCAGAGAAAATAAAGCTGCAGCCCGGCATAAATAAATGAAGCCTTGCGTGAAAATAGGTACTTGATTAGGAATTACCCTCACATATGTTCTAGTTCAGAGAAAATTTAGAAAGACTTTGCGATAAGTCAGCTATCAACTAGCAACTGGCTTCACTAAATGTCTTTTTTTCAATATTTGGAAACTTCTTTTATGAGAGAAAGCAATTGCTGATTAGAACTTCCTCATAAAGTTTTAGAAAGACTGCCCCCCTTTGTGAGAGCAACAGTTTTATTATCAAAATTTGACCTTGCGCTTCAGTAAATTTTGGATCAAGTGTTTAGAAAAATTTGATAGCACTCCAAGAAGTGAAAGTATATACTGTGTACATATAGATGAGAAGACCGTCTTAGAACTGTATTATTCACTGTACCAGGAAGTCCAGAGTATTTCTAATGTTCAGCAAAAATTAAGATCTTATTCTTCAGATTTAGAACATCAAAAATACCATAAACACTTTAGCACCTTTCTTAATAAGTATAAACAGAAGTCAGTACCTTGTGCAGGTCAAAATGAGTATCAAACAGCAACCTCTCAGGAAATCGAAAAAATAAAAAAGATTATCAACAAGTGATTCTATTAAGTGGTTCTGTGGCTCTAACCGCCG